TATAGAACTGAGTGTGTAAGTAAAACACCCAGTTGTTGTAATGATCATAGTAACAATTATTATTGAACCTCCGATGCTTGAATAACACTGGCCCCTTTTTTTTCAAAGTTCTTTCCCAATTATGGATTGACTTCATCCTAATGCTTTGCTTGTGGGCTATTTTTCTGATTATACATAAAAGAAAACACAAACCCAGAGAAGTGACTTGCCCAAGATCACACCACCAAGTCTTAGCTGAAAAAGACCTGTTCCTTGTCTTCAAATTTCTTAAGAAAAAAAAAAAAAAGTGCAGATATTACTTGTAAAACCTACATTCAAATGTTGTAAAGCAAAATGTACATCAGAGGAGGGCCATTTGGGAGTCAAAGGTGGCTAGGAGAGAGGGCAGTTCATCACAAAAGAACCCTTGAAGAGGAGACTTGGGAATGTGGAAAAAGTGGGTAGGAGGAGGAAAACTACAGGATGGAGACAAATCAGTGGATAGCAGGGGTCTCAAACTCAAATGCCAACAGGGGCCATGCACAAAACAGGAATGGATGAAATGCTCCAGGTATAAATGGTAGAGAAGGGTGGGGACTGCAGTGACTCAGGTCTCACCAGAGGAGTAGCCTCTGGGAATTGCTGACCAATTTGTACCATGCCTACGGAGTGGATCCAACATCTGGTTTTTTAGGAGAAGCAAAAAAACTCAGATTTTATATGACAATTCTGGGTTGGGATTTTTTTTTTTTCATTTTCATTGTGGTCTCAACATCAACCATTTTCTAAACATTGGCAACCAATTCAAGTATTCTAGAATACTCTTCAGGCCAAAGTAACACACGTACAGATATGGCCGTACAGATATGCCAATATTCAACCTCTGATGAGAGATGAGGCTCAGGGCTTGGGGCCAAGCAAAGAACTCTGAACGATGATGGACACAAAATATGTTATTTATTGTCAATTTCTGCAAAGACACATTTAAGCAACAAAATATACATTTGTCGACCTTTTAGAATTTGTTTTATACATTAACAAATACAATGTGCTACCATAGCAATAAATTAAATGTACATTATTTACATTACATAGGCAGTCGGGGTCTACGAATCACCTCCTCAAGAAGAGTAAAGAAAGAAAAGTCATCAGCACACGGATCATCATTTCCGAGCTACACGTCTTAAGTTCTATCACACAAAGGGATCTCTTCACACTAGAACATCAGCACTCCCCGGGCTGGAGTGTAGAAGGGAAACGCCCATGATGGGAGCGCTGGCATACATGCTAAGGAGCGGGAAGGAGGAACTGACCATTCCAAGTGGAAATATTACAAAATCAAAGATGATGGCCTTTCAATTCCAGTTTTCCAGCCAAACACCCTCTCCCCAGTGCCGCTAAGGCACAGGACAGAGCCATTGTCCCAACAGCCTCTCACTAGGCAGGGCTCCACCATCCTTGGCCCTGGTGGGGGTGGTCTCCTTTCTCCCAAAGGGGCAGATGGTCCGACTGAAAGGAGGGAGATATGGGGTTGGGGTGGGCGAGGGGCAGTAGTAAAACAGACAGCAGAGCTTTTAATGTTCCTTGGCAGACTTGAGAGACTCCACTGACCCACTCTCACCTTGGAGAAAGGGAGCTAGAGTTTTGGAGAGGAGCCATGGGTCCCCTGCCAGCCACCTACCTGACCCTGGCCATTCCCCAATAACAACCTGTCTCTGCTGACTCAGAATCAAATGAGGAAGGTAGTGTTTGCATTGGCACCTTAACCAGTCAGTGTAAGAAAGTGACTCTGGCTCTCGTCCCACATCAGCACAGGAGCCTATATTTTATTAACGACCCTTGTTTAAAGATCAGGGAGAAGAGTTTTCTTTTACCACTTTTCTTCTGAACTTGAGATGGGGAAACTGAGGGCTTGCTAACTGCTCTCTTCCCTGGCCTCCACCCCCATTACAGACCAGAGCTGAAGAACTGAGATTACCAGAAATGGTCCACTAAAATCTTTCTTTGCTCAAGCTGCATCCAAAACCCCACCACCCTCCCTGGAAAACTGAGCACATAAAATGAAGAGACTGACATCCCATCTTGACCGCAGACAGCTCCCAACCAGTGCCCAGGCACTAGCTGGCCAGCTCCTCTGAAACTCAGGACCCCAGCAAGCGCAGCCACCGGTTCTACCGGCCATGTAGGCGGAGCTGAAGAACAGGCTGGGCTGTGGGCTCCAATCCCAGCTTTGCCACTCGTTGGCTGTGCGACCCCCAGTGAGCCATGTCCCCTCACTGGGCCCAAGGTTTCTCAGCAGGATAACAGTATGGATGGATTAGATGTCAAAAGAGGCCCAGAAGCCTTAGACATCGAGATGATACCAACAAGGCTGAAACCATACAACAGTTTTCACTCATTTTTCATTCATTCGTTCGTTTCCCTTCATTAGAAACTCTAGCTCCAACCTTCTCTCTCAAGCTCATTCTGCATCTGTAGTTAATTAAGTAAGCATCACTGAGCAGAGGCATCTGGGTGCCCTGCAAAGCCTGACCAGTGCAGCTTCTTCTGCGAGTCAGGCCCTTCCCAGAGGCAGAGACATGTCCAGGAAACACTTCTCCTGTGTCCAGATCACAAGCAGAGTGCCTCAAATACCAGCATGAGCACCGTCAGGATGAGTCTGGTCCCAGGGACCAAGGAGACTTGAGCAAATCTTTGAGCCCCAAGACTGGGCGCAGCAATAAAAGGAAACTTTGGGCCAGAGCAGATGCAAGAGGATATGGGGGAAGCAGCCTTCATGAACCCAAGCTGTCCGCCCCATGGTCCAGGGGGGTGACATAAGACTGCCCACTCCCTGTCCCCCTCCTCCCCCTCAGCCCTAGGACCTCAGGGGCTGCTCGTGTGTACTCTAGGAGCCACAGATGGACTGGGCTTTCTAAAGAAGGTAAAACAGGACCCAGAGAGAGGAACATTTCAGACTCTGCCCAGCGCACTCCCCAGTAGCTAAGAGCAGGTAGAGACCACTTCTCAGGTCTGTTTTGTAGGAAGCATGTCTGTGCCTCCCGGTGTCCCTGGACACTCTCAGCCATCCTGGCTCGGAGGCGGGGACACAGCCCTCCCAGCAGGTGGGGGCTGCCGAAGGAGCAGCCTGGAGCAGCAGAGGAAAGCAGGTATGAGAACAGGGCGGGGACAACCAGGAAACTCCCGAGGACCCCCAGACCACAACACAACACAACCACCAAGCAGCTGTAAATACCAGCTACCTGAGAAGCAAGCCAGAACCTGGAATAGTTGGGCTTTTGTTGTTTTTTTTTTCCTTTTAAATGCAGTTTGACCTTTCAAGTTCCTTCAGCAAGCCAGCCAACAGAACACTGCCAGAATCCGCAGACCTCATTCCAGCAGTGGGTGCTGCTACAGTGATTTTTAATAAAACCTAAACAGACGTTTGTTGACCTTCTCACTGGAAGAAATTTTACCGGACTAGTATTTTAAGTAAACACATTTCCCAAATAGTGTGAGGGGACAGGTCCACCCAGCCTGCAAACGGGATCCCGCCATATCCACAAGAGTGAGAGACAAAGGATCAAGGTTTTGCTCTAAAGGCAAAGCAATGGGGAAACTGTCACATCAGTCAAAAACAAGTATGACATTAACTTGGGATTGCTTTGACTTTGGAATAGGCCCAGATCCCAATGCAGATGAAATAGGTGGTAGAAATCTGTGTCACCTGCTCCCAGGAGCAGGGGCCCAGCGTAAGGCCCCGGGGCTATCCCGTGTCACAGGACCCCACGCACCCGAAGTGCCAGCACCCACAGGGCTCTGCGGAGGACACCCCGCCTTACCCTCCACCGGGGGCCGGGCTGCAGAAGCGACTTTCCGCCCTGCAGACAAGGATGGGTGAGACGCAGGGAAAGGGGGAGCTTCTCCCGGGAGTGAGCTGGCTCTGGCCAAGGGGGCAGGCGGCAGGCAGCCCCTGAGCTGCCTCTAGCTGGGGCCCACATCATAAAAATCCCACCAACGTGACCACCGCCTCCAGACCCACGGTTGAAGGGGATCGGAGGACCAACCAGGCCAAAGGGCACAGCAGCTGGAAAGAGCCCCAAGGTAGCTCTGGGCCCACCACAGACGCCAAGAGTAGAAATCCCAGAGGGACATCGCTCCTTTCTCACGCCTACATGCTGTGTCCACACATCAACCGAGGTGGACAGGTCAGCCCCCTGCCTCGCCTCCCCGGCTCTGACCTCAGTGGTGGGCTCAGGGAACTCTTCCACAAGCCTCCATCACCAGCAGGGGCCTAATCCCCGCCCAGCCAACGTCCCAGAGCACAGCTCGCCAGCTTGTTCTTCCTCAATTCCTTCCTGCTCGGGGGCTGCCCATCCCTCCTTGGGGAAAACACCCACCCCGAGGGGAGAGACCTGCCCAGGTCTTGTCCCACAGCAATGACGCGGGGCCACCTCCACACTCACACAGCTGTCTCGCCTCTGCTGCCGGCACCCAGGACACACTGGCCACAGGACCAGAGGCAGTGCCAGGCCCGAAGTCAGCAGGTGGGCAAGAAAGCAGCCCCCAGCACACAAGCACACAGGTGTGGGAGCAACACTGCTGATTCCTGTCACAACATCATGGAGGATGGCTACAAATCTTGGTCCCACCACCACTAAATGGATTCACTGTGCCTGCCACGTCCAGGGCACAGGCTGCCCCCCTCCCCGTGCAGCATTATGCTGATGGCCCCCGCACCCCACCTCACCACTCTCTGCCCCACTAGTCTCTGACCCAAGTCCCCGGGGCCCAGATCCCCCCAAGCCCAACTCCTTCCTCTGTGCACAAAACAAGATGATGGATGGGCCAGACACACATCACATGGGCGGTCAGGAGCAGGAGGAGCCTTGAGGGAGGAGGCCTTGTCCAGAGAAAGAGAGTGCTCACAGGGTGCCTTGGCTAGGGGACAGGCAGGGCGGTGGCCAGATCGGGACATGGGGACAGACGGCTGGTCTGTGGGCAGGTGGCTGGTGGGGCAGCAGGGCTGTGACGGTCAGAGTCGTGGATGGCACCCCCAAACTGCTGGGAAAGGGCCTTCTCCAAGACAGAATCAGGGCTTCCCTGGAGGAGAGAAGGAGGGAGAGGATGACCAAACACGGCATAAGGAAGGGAAGGAGAACTTGTGCCTGTGGCTTCAGCCCCCTGAAAGGGCTTGGAACATGAGGGGCCAAAGACAAGGGTGCCAGACATCAGGCAGCGTGAGCAACTGGGCATAAACACCGATGTGGTGAACAGAGCGGGGTGAAGGTGAACGTCAGAATTCCCACTATCTCTTCTACTTTTTCACAGATCAGGTTTATACAAAGTGGCCCCCACTTGGCTCCAGCTGTGACTCAGCCTCCTCAGCGGGGAGAGGGCTGGGAAGGCAAATGGCTCCCTAATAAATTTACCAGCAGGGGGTCAGGCCTTGGTGGTGACAAACTGGAATCAGGCCCGACTCTGCTGAAAACCACGCACTCCCGCAGCGGAGGAGCCTCCCTCGGGTCATCCCACACAGTGTTGAGGGACTAGGACATCTCTGAACATGCAGGGAGGACACATTTGAGGCCAGAGCCCTGGCTGAAGATACAAGGAGGGAAAGGCTACCAAGAACAAGGAGACAAAGGGACAAATGGAGGAATCCCCTGTCTGAGGGAGGAAGGTGAGGTCTGGGCTACGGCCCGTCTGTCTACTGGAAGCCATCCCCTCCCAGGGCAGGGAGACCGGCTCAGTGAGTCTGGGCAGATCGTACCTGGCAACGCTTCCCGCCCGCACCCGAGGCTGTCTGCTGTCTTCCTCCACCCAGACCCGGGCCCCATCCCAGAGGCTTCAGGGAGGAGGCAAGCGATCCTCCCCAGCTCAGGATCCCTTGGGTTAGTAGACCACGAGTACTCTGATCTTAACATGGACACATCTCCACTCGTGGCCACAGCAGGACAAACACTTGACCCACCTTTGACAAGCGAAGGACTCCTCTTTCACATTAGTGACCCTGTTTCAAGAAAAACCCATACAAGAGTTTTAAATAACTAGACAACATAATCCCCACCGACTGAAGCTTCTGTGCACTCAGCTCGCAGCTCTCTGAGCTGCAAGCTAAGGAAGGGACATGAGGCCCCAGGAGCCAAGAGTTCCCAACTCAAACCTGCATGTGTCTGAGGGTGTGACATTAACACAGGAGGTGTGGCAGAGCTGGCCAGCACCCCTAGGCCACGTACCATGCATGGTACATGCCTGCACCATGTGGGGACTGTGGCATCACCACCAGATCTGACCAGAACTTTCCTTCTCCCAGTGTGCTATATGAGCCACCCCTTCCTCTGGCCCCCAGGAAAGACAGCTGTCTTTGGGAGGGGGTTGGAAGGTGGGATACAGGAGGCTCCCCCCAACTCCCCCACCCCCCTCACCCCTACCCTCATGCCCCTAAGCCTTACCGCACTAGAGCTGGCGTGGCTGAGCTTATCAAAGCGGAATTTCAGGTTTGACCTCGGGGAGTTTCTGCTTTTGGGATCTGGGAAAAAGAAGTTTCCATGAAAGGTGGGCGGGTCCACAGAGGTCACTAGGGCTGTTTGGGGGGGGTGCAAGTGGGGGGGGCCTCCTCTGTCCCCTAGGCACTCCAGCGGACCTGTGGCATTTTATCAGAGCCAACTCTCAAATCTTTAGAAATTTTTAGAAACGTTAGATGTTTGGTAAACCCAGGCATTTTTTTTTAATTAAATTACAGAAATTTACAATTCAATAAATGATAATCATCAAAGATAGTAAATACCCAAAAGTCCTCACTCCCTAATTATTGCACTGATTTTTACTGTTATCAGCTGTCGTTGGGTCACTTCTGTCTGTGGCCATCTGTCTGGCAGCGCACTGCGGGCCAGCACTCAGCCGTGGTCGAGCCCTCCAAGCATGGAAAGCAGTGGATGCTCCAAAATCAGGGCTTGTCCTACTGTTTCATTGTCTAGGCTTCAAATAATGAAGAACATGTTAAAAAAAAATACTGATGAGATTTGAAAATGCATCGTGTCTGCACCCATTACATTAGGACCAGCACAAACATGGGAGTCAGTTCTCATCTGGCCCTCAAGAATTAGGATGTGATTCAGCAAAGAAGTGGCTGGCGGGCTTACATTCCTGACAAAAGAGCGATCGTCAGTCGTGTCAGAACTACACCTTGCTGGGGACGCCTGGGTGGCTCAGTCGGTTAAGCAGCTGCCTTCGGTTCAGGTCAGGATTCCAGGGTCCTGGGACTGAGCCCCACATCAGGTTTCCTGCTCAGCGGGAAGCCTGCTTCTCCCTCTCCCTCTGCCTGCTGCCTCCCCTGCTTGTGCTTGCTCTCTCTCTCTCTCTTGCTCTCTCAAATAAAGAAATAAAATCTTAAAAAAAAAAAAAATTACACCTTGTTGGTCCTCTGCAACTTTCAGTTATCCACACATAAAGAGGTTAGACAAAGAGCGATCGGAGTGCTTGGTGAGAATCATTTGGCAATATGAGATTTAGAATAAAGAAGTCTAATGCAGCATTATCTGTATCAGTACACAAGTGTGTGTGCACATGCGCGAGTGTGCCATGGGAAAGCTGGGCGTGGAACATGACCAGCACACCCGGGCAGGGGGACCACTCGGCTTTCTGGCTTTCCTCTGCTTGGGGGAGTTTACAGGTCAGTTCACTGCAGCCAGAGGCCACTGGCTTCCTTCTGGTGCTTCGGATGAGGGGCTCCAGCCAGCACTGTGAGTACCTCTCAGACCTGCCAATCCCCTCTCAGGACCTCAGGCACCCAGATGTGACATGCTGATGATCGGGGATCAGAGACCACAGATGCTGGACATCAGGCCTTCCCAGGGGATCCCCCTCTTCCCAGATGCGCCAAGCAGCTTATGACAGGTTCCCAGAGGTCTGCAAACTGACCCCAGTCCTGCGGGTTCCCAGCACGGCCTCCATGAGGCTGGCAGCGGGAGGCCAGGGGTTCAGTACTGCACGGGGGAAGGGGATGACAGCAGCCCATGTGTGGTGCAGGAAACCCAGGAGGGGGTCGCCAGGTCCCTTCAAAGTCCCCTGTGCCCCGGGTGACCTTCAGCAAGTGGCAGACCGTCTCAAAACCTCCCACTACTCAGAACCTTATTTGATTTGGTATTTATTTAATATCAAGTAGGAGCCAGGCTTTTTCATTCATTCCTTCAATATTTAATTACGCCTTATTAAAAATCACGGCATTTATATTAGAACAAGGAGTTCGGGTGTTTGGGGGTTTTACAGAAGGGGAGACTGAGGCTCAGAGAAGTGAACCTGTCCTTGCCCCAGCCAGGACTGGAAGCCAACCCTGCAGCTGCCCAGCACAGGGGGCCATGTGACAGGAAGCCCAGGAATGGGCTCTCTCTATGCTTCTATCATCAGACTCCAGTTTCTCAGCCTCAGCTGATGGATGTTTCGAGCCAGAAAATCCTTTCTTATGGGGGGGCTGCTCCACCCTTTGTCGGATGTTTAGCGGCATTCCTGACCTCTACCCATCAGGTGCAGGGCACTCTCCTCCCACAATCATGAGAAGCAGAAACACATCCAGATGCTGTCAAATGCGCCCTCGGGAACAGGATGCCCCAGGTTGAGCACTATTAACTACACTCTTGTTTTATTCCTGCCATTTAACCTAACCAACATTCAGGTTAACAGTTCTAAGTCTCTGATGACTGTGAGTTCATCTAATCTTCACACAATCAACCACAACTATTCAGTTCCCTCCACCCTTTGCTTGGGGAAACTGAGGCACAGAAAGGCTCAGTAACCTGCCTGGTGTCACCAGTAAGTCGCATATCAAGGATTTGGATCCAAACCCCACAGTCCTGCACCTGCCCCCACACGATGCTGCCCTCCTCGAGGGCCAGACAATGCTCTGATTTCTGGGTGATGGTGCCCTACCATACCTATCATGCACGTCCCCTCGAGGGCCAACCCCTCCCCCCTCCCCAGAGCTGTTGCCTCATACTCTGTCTGACCACAAGGATCCCAGAAGCCCCAAGGGCCCAGATTCTTTGCTCTCCCTGAATCCCCACTACTGAGTGGAAGATTTTACCTCCTTGATATCTCTTGCATCTACATCCTTCTCCGTTGCTCCAGACAGCCCCAACCCACGGCCCAGCCACCCTCACTGCCCACTGTGACCCCTCACTGATCTCCCTCTGCCTCCACTGCCCACCCACCCCATCTACTCAGCCAGCTGCGGCCACCTAGTCCAGATGGCGCTTCACTACATAAGACCCTCCAGTGGCTTCTCTTGCCAGCAGGACAATACCCAAGTCCTTGCCAGGGTCTCCACGGTGGCCCCGGCCCAGCATCCTATCTGCCATCTCTTCTCATACCTGTCTCCTCTGCGAACTGCAGCCCAAGGAACCACTCACGTTTCCCTCCAGCTGCAACACTCACCCCACTTTGTACCCTTGCACTTGTCATGGTCATTATTGCGGCCCAGGCACCCAGCATCGGGGATGGGGTGCAGCCAAAGAGCCTCCACTTTCAAATCCCAACTCCTCTACCCAATCACTGAGCTTCCAGAGCCTCGGTTTCCCCATGAGTAAGGAGATGATAAGAACACTCCGCAAACAGACAGAATGAGCTAGCAGAGCTCAAGGGCCTAACACATGGGGGCTGGAGCGGAAACCGGTTGTTGTGGTGTGGCTGGAGCTCATGCCCATGGTCACAACACAGGCCCCGCCCCTCCGGCCCCAGGGCACACAGCCCCAGACCCCACTGACCTGTAGGACTCCGGCTCATGATGATGGGGGTGGCTGCGGCCCCCAGGCTGGGGTTCTCGCTGCTTGGGGACGGGCTGTAGACAAACACCTCCTGCTTGAAGGGCGAGGTGGTGGACGGCTGGCTGCTCTGGGGAGAGAGGCTGGGTGAGTGAGGCCAGCTCCAGCCTCAGCGGCCCCACAGGGTGGCCTATGCCATGGCAGGTCTGACACCGACACTGCCTCCCACATTCCGCATGGACCCGCTCCGTCTTTCTGCTGCCCCCAGAAGTGCCCCAATCCTCTCTTCTCTGGCCAGGAACCCCACAGCAGGGACCCCACTCAGTGTGGCCCCTGGCCCTCTGCTGCTATTCCTGTGTCACTCCCAGGGAGAAGAGACAGATGACCGGCCCATCTCTTTCTTGTTTCCATACTTCCCCTTCCCCGCCTCCCCCCACCCCCATCCCCAAAGACTGGATGGGGCTCTACCCACAGCAGCTAGTTGAATGCACACAGCCGGAGTCTGGCTGGACCCAGGGTGCCTCTCCCTGCTCCCCAGGGTTGGAGGGAGCCACACCTACCCCACTGTCACACTCCTCCATGGCCTCCCCCTCCCCTGCTGTGCTGCTGAAGCTGCTGGTGCTGGAGGATGAGCGGGAGATGTTGGCTCGGCCATTCTCCTTCAACTTTATGAAGGGCCTGTGGGAACGGGAGCAGGACAGGCCTGGTCACTCACGGAGCCCATCCCCCAGACAGGGCAGACCTGGCAGTGACTCCCCCTCCCCTGTGCTGCCCCCCACCCCCCCCCCCACCCGGCTGGCTTTTGTGTTTCACAGAGTTCTCAAGGCAAAAAGGCTGGCTCTAGCTGAGAGCACATTCCAGGCAGCTCCAGCCAGCCCTGCCCCCACACTCTGCCCTACCCCAACCCTCGCTCTCTTACTTCTCCTTGTTGGGGCAGATTTCCGGAGAACTGGGGTTGGATGAAGCCTCAGACTTCATCTCCTGAGAAGAGTGTGCACCATCTGGGGTCTTGGGGTTGCTGGATGCACTGTCACTAAGGAAAGAGGAATAAAGAGGGGTGAGGTCGCGGGGCCAGCCCCTAAGCCCCCATCCCACCCCCAGGCCCGAGACAGGCCCAAGCAGCTCTCAGTGCCACAGGGCCTGTGGGGTCACAGCATCCCCTGCCAGAGCACAGCCACCAGGACCTCCATTCCCCCAAGGCCCACTCCAGCTGCAGCGGCCAGCAGGGGTCCCTGCTCCCTCAGTGGCTACCACAGGCTCCTGGGTGAGTCAAGAGTGATAGAGCAAGAGTCCTGGCTGGATGCCGCCAAGCCCATATCCACTCCCCACCGACGCTGGCCATCCCACCTGGCAGGGCTCGAAGTCAAGAGCCGGAGGGCCTATGACACGCATTTCCACAGCAGGGAGAGTAACCCAATGCGCATGCGCTCAGTGGCGGGGCAGGCAGGGTCGCTGTGCATGACGCCCTTTATACAGACCACAGGACAAGCTCCCTGGATCTGTGTGACAAGGTGGCTGGGAAGGGCATCTTGGCCAACGGGCTACTCTTGGCCAAGGGCTCAAGGGATTCCTTCTCTTGGAGTTCAACAAAGACCAAGTATGCCGCCCACCATCTGTCCTGTGCCCCCTGCTGGGGACAAGGTGGCCTTGTCCTCAACGCAATTTTTAGAGCTTTACTGAGATACGATCCACATAGAATTCACCCAATTAACAGTGTCCAATTCAATGGTTTTCAGTCTACTCACAGAGTTGTACAACCATCACCACTATCTCATTTTGGAACAATTTAGACTCTCTTAAAGAAACTCCAGACCCACACATAACCATTCTCTGTCCACCCCTGGAAACTACAGATCAGCTTTCCGTCTCTCTGGATTTGTTGGTTCTGGACAGTTCATACGAATGAGATCACATGACCTGTTCTGGTCTTTTCTGACTGGCTTCTTTCACTCAATCTTTTCAAGATTCATCCAAGTTGTAGGCATATAGCAGTACTTTACTGCTTTTTATTGCAAAAAAAAAAAAATCCCATTTTCCAGAAACAGCACATTTTATTTATCCCTTCACTGAGCCATGGACATCTGGATCCTTTCCACTTTGGGCTATTATGAGTAATGCTGCTAGAAACATCTGTGTGCTAGTTTTCATGCCGACATACATTCTCTCGGGCGTAGACCAGGAATGGAACTGCTGGGTCATATGGTAACTCCACGTTTAACTCTCCAAAGAGTTGCCAAGCTGTTTTCCAAAGCAGGTGCATTAGTTCCCGCTCCTACCAGCAAAGCCCAAGGATTCGAATTTCTCCACATCCTTGCTGACACTTGTCATTACGTGTCTTTTTGATGACAACCATCTCAGAGGCATGAGCGCCTCAGTGCACTTTTAATGAGGCTGCTATTGATCTCCTAATTGTCCCCCCCAAGCAGGGGTTTAGGCCCTGGTGTAGGGCTTCTCTGCACATCTGACACAGTGGACCCTCCCTCCTGGAATTCTTCCTCTCCAGGCTTTCTTCTCGTCTTCCTTCCCTTTCTCCCCTTGTCCTGAGATACTGGTGTTCCCCAGGCATTCTACACACTCCCTTGGGGGGTCATATTCGTTGATCCATCTTTAAACACCACCTGTGCCCCAGTGACTCCCTTCTGCAGCCAAGGCCTCACTCCTAAGCTCAAGGCCTGCTGTCTGACCACTCAGAATTCTGCACTTCTCTTCTGGGTAGGCCATAAGGACTCTCACAAGTACAGGTCCCAAACAGAGTTTTTCATCCCCCTCAGTGAACCTGCCCTTCACCCTGCATGCCTGAGCTCAGGGCACCACCACCACCACCACCACCACCACCATCCAGGGCAGCAACCTGGAAGTCAACCGGGTGTGGGGCTTCTGTAGTTCTTGCCTGAGCGTAGACCCCAGCATGTAGCAAGCACTCGAACACTGCTTGCTGAATTAAACAACCAGTGGGCTCACCATTAAAGGACGAGAAAGACAATTAGCAAGAACAGGTTAAGGATGGTGCAATATGAAAGCTGCTTTTAACAAAAGGAAAAACATTCTAGAAGCCCTAACGTAAGTTCAGGGAACTATCTGGCAGAATCGCAGAAGGCTTCGATAAGAGTGAACACCTGAGTGAGCGTTGGGAAAGGAGGTAAAGAAAAGAAAAGAATCCAAGCAATGTTTCTAGTTTGGGTCCAGACACGACAGACAGTTCTGGAAAGTCCCGAAGAGAGCCTGGCCAAATCTCTCTCAGGGGGAGGAGCAGAGGGAGTGACCTAATGCGGGGACCAAGGCTAGAAGGCTGCCATCTACCAGAGCTGCACAAAGCCATCCCCAAGGCTGGGCATCTGGCAGCAGTGGCAGGACCCACAAACACACGCTGGACAGTTACCATCGTGTCCGGCCATCGCCTTGGCCTTCAGAGCCTGTGTGCAGCCGGGGAAAGAGCCCTGACCGCCGCTTGATGGGGCTCCGTGACTGGTTCTTCGCCGCCACTGCTGCTGCTGCCGCCGCCGGAGGCTGTCAATGAAACCACCGAAATGAGTGCCCACAGCCCACCTCGGACCCCAACTCCTTCCTCTCACCCCCTTTTCTGGTCTACAAACAGCTCCTGCAACCCCCGAGTCTACAGGAGATCCCAGAAAATAGGGAGGTCGCTCGGGAGGCTAGGATCCACGCAACAGGGACTGAGACCCCAAGACTCCTGCCACGGCAGCCTGTTCCCCTGTGTTCTTAAGCCAAAGCTTGTGGCCCCACGTAATAATCACCAAAGACCAGAATTCTTGGAGGAACAGGGGTCAAGGCCACCATAAAGACAGCCCGGCATACCAAAGTCAGGGTGTTTCGGGGGGTCAAAGACTGAGAACCACATGGCTGAGGGGGCCCTGGGAGAGACCTGGTCCAACCTCTCGCTTTACCACTGAAGAAGCTGAGGAGCCAAAGGATGAGGGGACTGGGCAAAGGTCACAGAGCAAATTGATGGCAGGAAAGGGACAAGAACTCAGGACTCTGACTCTCCTCACAAATAAGTGGGTCCAAGCCAGGCATCTCTATAACAAGATGGAATGAGAGCAGCAAAGCCAGGTCCACAGGCCGAAGGAACCTGTTGAGAACCCACCAAGAACGTGGCTCTGTGTCAGCACATGCAGGGGGTTGAGCACGGGACCGAGGAAAGGGAGACTGTGGTCATTCTTCAGAGTCCACCAGGCCTCTAATGCAGGCCCCAATCTCCTCATCCACAGAACAGGGATAACTGTCCCGCCCTGCTCCTTTCATAGACCCTCTCGGTGGAACAAGATAACAGCTATGAAAATATCTGGTAAGTTCAATGAATTATGTAAGATCACTTAGAACACTAATCCTGAGTATCAAGGTGGGTGTATTCTATTTGAAAAGAAAAGAAAACCCTTGTCTATATAAATCCAAAGTCACTTTGTTTTTTATAAATGGACCAACTATGTGGTTCCTTCACCTGGCCAGTTGCTTGTGCAAGGAGACCAGGCCCAAACCCACAGCCACACCAGGCTCTGGCCTTGGGAACTGCACACACAGTGATTAACGGCAAAGACTGTGGGTCAGGGAGATATGGATTCAAATCCCAGCCCTTCAGCTTAGCTAAGGGCCCCAGGGCAGGTTACTAAGCCTCTCTGGGCCTCCTTTCCTCAAGTCTGAAATGGAGAATACATCAGTTCCTACCTCAAATAGCTATTATGAGGATCAGATGAGAGAATGTCCATGAATTACTTCGCTCAGTCCCTAGTGCACAGCAAGGCAGGGTGGCTACTGTGATCGTTAATAACAAAGTGATGACACCCCTCCTGAGTCCCAAGACACTGGGCAGAGAAATATGCCCCAGAACCACTCTAAGGGGGGGCCCACCCTTAGAACAGGACAATGGGCGGGCTTCTAGTCTGGGCCAGCCCCAGCAGTGCCTGGGATAGAGACTGCGAATCACAGGCAGGGCCTAGGGTCACCCCCAAAGAGCCTCAATCTCCCCAGTCCCTGCTCTGGACTCCCAGCCCAAGCCTGGGTGAACAGACCCTCCTTTGCAGGCCCGGGGCAGGGGTGGGGGGCCAGAAGAGGCACCCTCCCTGGGAACCGTGTGCTGCCCCAGGGCCCGAGGCACTCACCGAGAAGGTAGTCTTGGTGACCTCCATGCTGTTGTGCGAGATGCCCCCACTGAGGCTGCCAGGGATGCCCCCGCTGTGCTGCTTTTTCTGGCTGCTCACCATGGTCTCCATGGAGTGGCTGCGCACACGGATGGCCCTCTGCAGGGAGAAGCGACAGGGACCCGATCACTGGCGCTCAGCCCACCAGATGCCCCTGTCCTCCCAGGGGGTCTGTAGACACAGCCCTTCGCTTGGGCACACTCAGGCCACACAGGGCCCTGTGCCCACTTAGGGCCACCAAAGAGCAAAGGGCACGTCGGCAAACAGTGACACATCCAGGAGGGAAAACCAGGATGGTCGGGACTTGCTGGTCCATGTGCATGGATAAGAACAGCTACAGTCAAGAATGCTTTGAGCCTACATCAGGGACAGGCCTGGGAGGTGATGACCGCACCCCCAGACCACTCTGCAGGTCTCTGGTGTTCTGCAACCAGACCCAAGAGCAGTAACCACAGTGAGGACAGCTAGTTAACATAGAGCGAACCCTCCCACAGGCCCTGGCTTTTAGAGAACTGCCCTAATTCTAGGAACACATCTGGTTTCCCTGACTGGATGCTCCTTAAGACAGAGGTCAGGCCTGACCTTCTCTGACTCCTCTCCTGCAACTCCCCTGGTCCTGGCACAAGGACAGACACATGGGCAGCACGTGGAAAAGAAGAGTAGCCACGTTTACTGGGGACTTATGATCACCAGGCTCTCTGCAAAGAGCTCAAATGTAATCTCACCACTAGCCCATGGTGTGGCTCTCCTCCATCCCATCTCACAGCTAAGGCTCAGAGAAGCCAAGGGACCTGACCAGGGGCCCCCAGCTAGTAGGAGGTAGAACAGAGGGCAGACACATGCCAAGATACACAAATGGAGGTATGTGTTGCTCACGTAAAATGGCCATCCCCACCATATTCCTCAGTGGAACAAGGGGTTAAATCAATCAGTCTAAGGTGGTTGCCAAATCTCTCCCCTTGCCAGTGGGGTCTGAGGGGATGGTGGCTGGGAGCTTGAGGATGGCCAAAAGAGAGGCGACATTCTGCACCAGAACTGCAGTAGCCACTCCGGGGTGTGGGGATCAAGCCCGTGGGATGAAGGCAACAAGCCAAGATGGCAGAGTGGGGAAGGGAAAGAATCTGGATGCCGAGGACCCCACAGAGCCATAAGTCACCCCGAGCCTCCTCGTTAAGTGGGCTCGTGGATTTTCCTCACTGTGGGAGCCGGCTGAGGTCCTCAGGAATGCAGCTTCAGAAAACAGGCTCAGAAGGATAACAGTATGGATACAGGAAGCCAATTCAGGAAGAAGGGCCATCTGCAAACATGGGTGCCCTGGAGACTCGCTACTTTTGCAAATGAGGCACGGAGCCCCCCAGCCTCCTACCCCTGATGTCATCCAGCCCCTCCTGGGTGAGTCAAAGATACCACTTGAGGGACATCATGGCTCTCCCTTTCTAAACCACAGAAGAGAATCGCCTAGTGACAGTTTCCAGCCCATACATTCTATTCATTCCATCACCCAGAGTCAACATTAAGTCGCACACCCTTTGAAAAACTGAGAGCAGGACTGGCTGTGGCACCACACTAAGGTGCGCCGGGATAAACAGCAAGGTTCCAAAAAAAAAAAAAAAAAAAACCAGCAAGGTTCCTTAAGTGAGTCAGTTCTCCATAAACCTCAGCCCCGTGACATTCTGCTGGGGCCCTTGTGGGTGCCGCCACCATCAACGATATCGTGTGTGTTCTGACACATTCCTCACAGTCTCTTTCCAAGAAAGACCGGATGTTGTGTGCTAGGATCTGGTCTACAGAGCTTCACAGATGTGGACTTACTGAATCCCCGCACCTCTTAGAGGCAGACAGGACAGGCACTCACAGAAAAGGTCCCGAAGAAAGGCCCCTGGGCTCCAGATGAAAGGGTCCCTGGTATCCCAAAAAGGGGTCGAGATTGAACACCAAACTAAACTAGTGGTTGGAGGATTAGAAATCAAGGGCTCCTAGCCTCTCCTCCAAAAAAAGTCTCCAGGGCTGATGTTAGGAAGGATGTTTTCTCCTCAAATGACCTTGGTGCTGCTGTCCGAGTCAACAAGGAGTCTGAGGAGACGATGGGCTGGCAGAGAATCCCTGGAATGGGCACGGTGGCCATCTGCTGCTTGAGGCTAACAGAAAGAGGGTTGCATCCTGGTCTTCCCAACACCATGTATGAACCTCTCTGGCACACGGACTCCTCGTCTATACAACGTGGTGACGGTCCTGCGTGAGGACGCTGGGAGATCATGCGTGCCAGATGTCTGGTATACAAGCTGCCCGCTGGGGGCCAGCTCTCCACCCCCTACTCTGAGGGATGGAGCTGAGGGACACAACGGCTAACTCAAAACCTTGACATGAAGCCTGAGTTGGACAAAATCACCCAGTGATATGGTCTGAAGTATTTTACGTTTCAATGTGATGTTGAGCTGGAAACACTAGCCTTCTCAAACCGGGCAGAAAAGTCAGGGAAAGGGCCAAGAAAAGAAAGGACAGACTCCCCTCTGCTTGCTCATTACGTTCAAAACTGCCTTTTCCCATGGTAGAGAGCCTGACCTTTGGAAAGGTCTTCTGTGCACCGAGCTGAAGTCTTACCAGTTCTAGGGCTTGGAGTCTTAGGCCAGTCTGTTTCGTATCTCACCCAACTGTCCCTCAACTGTCTGAGGACACCATTGTCCCCAGAGTCTGCTCTCCTCCCAGCTGACCACCTCTGGTTCCGGTGTCCCTCCTCAGTCCGGATGGGTTTTCCAACCCTCAGCTCACCCCACGGCTTATCTCTCTGAACAGACTCTCCTTTGGCGGGGGGGCAAGAAAACAGACATGGTGTCACTTTCTCTTTATCACTGCATGTCAGCAGGGATGTGAGCTACTAGTTAGCATTATGCAGGGAACAAGTCTCTTCTGGGCCCAACACAGGCCTTGCTTCTTATGGGTTTGTGCTTCCTTATGCTTCCAGATGGGTTTTGGGAGTTGTTTCAATTCCACAAATTTAATGCACACAGAGCACAGACATGAGCACTAAGGCGGGGGGGGGGGTAGTGACAGGATGCCTATCTGTATCAGGTAAGCAACAGAGAGAGGGCTGCTTAGGGAGAAAGTTGCTAACTGCTTGCCTCCTGAGATCACACCTAATTGGGAGGCACCCTGAGGGACCTTGAGGAATGGAACAGGGTCTTCTGTTCCCCCTAGAAGGGCAAATAAAGAATGGATGTTGACAGGAGAGGGCAATGTTCCCTCACATCTGCACAGACCAGAGCTCCGACCCATGAGCCACCCAGGCTGCCCCAGCTGCCCCAACTCCAACCCCAACTGAGGGTTGGAGCACGCTGGCACCTTAACTGCCACTACCCACCCCAGAGAGTTCTGGGAGAAATGCACCTACAGTGGTCCCTGTTTGCCATGGTCCCCATCTGCCCCTGGGCCTTTTCCTCCCTGGTCCTTCATTCCCCCTTCTGCACGACGACATTAATGGGGGAGTGGGCTAGCTCCCTGTTTCTCAAAATGTGGCTCACACGTGCTTTGCATACAGATCATGTAGGAGCGCTACTTTTTCTTTTCATTACAGACCAATAAAAATTGCATCAACAGCTAGCAGTGGTAGAGAATGGCATTTGAGAACAACGGTCTAGAGATCAATACTTTTCAAAAGTGAATAACGTAGAGCTCTTTTATAAAGGAAAATATTTCTTCAAGACCAAGAATCTATCCACAGACACCCCCTACCCCCCAACAGTGGTCCCACAGACAGCATTTGCAAGATACCTACTTATGCCACACAAATTCTTTTAATTGTGAGTTTCACTGCAAAAGTTTGGTCTCTATAATTGGAAATATGTATATTTTTAGATTATCATCTAAGTGAAAATGCAAAATTTTTAAGTGTTGGTAGAACTGGCAGATCCCTGAGACTATCTCAAAGCACTCAGTTTGAGAAGCAGGTCTGGACATCCATAAACCAACTGTTCCATTTCTCATGGAAGAAAAGCTTAAATGACAGCCAGCAGAATCGAAGTGAGAAGGGAGGACTAGCCTGCATGGTGGGAGGTGCCGGGCAGCACGATCTAGGGCAGCGATCGGTCTGCTTCCTGGAAGAGGGAAGAATCATCCCAAGAGGCCAGGGAACGGATGGCTGAGACTGCTTTTAGCCCTGGGAATTCCCAGTTGTTTCCACAGGAGATGAGACCTTTTACCAAAAGGAGACAGAAAACACAACTTTTCCTTCTGGAATCATTTTGTGCACTTGTTCCAAGAGGGATCCTATGGAGGTGAGGGTAAGGAACTCCATGAGGAATGAAGAAATACCAAAATGAGTGGTTTCCTGAACTGGTTCAGACCATAGACCTGGCCACAGGCACAGCCCAGGAATCAGAAAACCCCAGGGCCCCTGGGTTCCATGCCCCTAGCTTCGGCCTCCACAGCCTGGGAGACAAAACGGTCATGGTGGAAGGGACAGGGCAAAAGAGCCCATGTTCCCAACTCCGGTAAGCTCATCTTAATGATCAGAGCCCTGAAGGCTTACTCTGTGTGACTGCTGGTAACAGCCCCTCCCGCACACCATAAGAGCTACCTCAGGGACAGGCGTGGAAGCAAAAGGCACAAGCCGAGCTATCTTCAGTCCGCAAGTGGAAGGATTAAGCGCTGAAAAAGAAATGGCCCTGGACTATTGGATCAAAGACGAGTAACGATAAAGTCTTGAAGCCTCTCCCCTCCTAGAGACCCCTTTAGTTGGAGCCACTGGAGTCAAGGGCAGATCAATGGCTTCTCCTCCAGAGGCAGGGGACCAGACAAAAGGCCTCAGGCCGCCCTCCTTCAAGACCCCCAGCTCACATGTAGCTGCTGGGCCATTTTCTCCATGGGCACCACGGGCAGTGTCCAGAGCCCGCAGGCTTTTCTAGTTTATAAAAACCTTTGAAACTTGAAAAAAAAACTTGAACTTCCAAATACAGAAAGAAACTTGCAAAACTGAAAGCAACACACGCTACTTTAAAACCTGCAAACTATGCCACATGATGGCAGCTGAAGCCATATATAAATTCCAGCTACTCTGGGACGTGGGAGCATTGTGATATTCTGGAGGGGTGGAGCCTACACGGAGTTCCCATTTACTGGGCCTCACTCCCCACCCCACCACCACTGGGCTAGCTGAGCTGGCGCCTTCTTTCTTCCCCAGCCCCTCCCCTCCCTCACACCCCTTTCCTCTTGATCTCCACTTTCTCCTATTTCGCCCTGGCTGCGCTGTCCATGAGGCCTGAAACAGATGCCCCAGGAATGTCCCACCAGCCTGGACAGGCAGCTCAGCTCCCACCCTCCTACCCCCACCCCCGGAGGAATATCAGCAGCTGCCTCAAAGGGGGGCCAACGGAGCCGTGCCCTGCTATCTGCAAGGCCAGCTGGGCTGCCAGGGACAGACCCCAGGCTTGCCCAGGCATGGGTGGAATCTTAACGGACCTGGGAACCAGGGGCAGGACAGTGGAGAAGATGGGCTCTGCAACCCAGCAGACTCGGATTCAAATTACTTTGTCTCTTTGAGCCTGCATTTCCTCATGTGTAAAATGACACGCATGACTCCTAAAACAGGAATGAATTAGTATCCCCACTGTGAGGCCTCACATGGGATGGCGCGTGTCCAGCATCCACCGGAGCCAACACCAGCCGCTGATGCTCTCACTGAGCATCCACTGTGTCCCAGGCAATGCGCACTCTCCCAGTCAGAAGGTCTTATTTCGGGGATCTCCTGTGGCCACTCCAGAGGTCTGATCTATCACTCCCGTGTTGTAGAGGAGAGCGCCATAGCTCAGAGACGCAGATCACACCGAGCTGGGATTCTAACACAGGCACACAGTGTCCCTTTACCAATCACTCTGCAGTGGGCAGTCCAGCAGAATGCTAACCTAAGAACCAGAAAACCAGAGCTTGTTCCTCTACCTCTAAGTAACTGTAAGGTGTTGAGCAGTCCTGCCACCTCCCTCAGCCAGTTCCCACTGTGTGTGTGTGGGAATGACGAGATCTGCTACGCTGAGAGCACAGGAGAACAGCCAGAGTTGGTGCTGGCTATCAGGGCTGTGTGGACCACTGAGCACTCAGTAAGCATGGGACAATACACCCCCTGTACCTCACACTGGCTCGGGGGCTGGCCGAGCTCTACTTGAATACCTCCAGGAACTGGAAGCTTACTGCTTCTCTTAGCAGCTGGTTATGTTATGATTGGAAGTTCTTCCTTTTGCAAAGTCCGAAGGGAGTTACTTGCCTGTAACTCCGTCGCACTGGCCCTGGCCAGGTCCTCCAACACCCTGCCAGCTGGAAAAACTCATGGCAGTACCACACACATTGGCTGCTAAAGACCCCAAAGACTGTGTCCTTGCTCGAGTCCTCCTGCCCTGAGCTCCTCATCCTGACACAGAAGACGATGCTGAAGGCAGTAATGTGCCTGGTTTGTACTGGCTACTCTCCCACTGCTAACTCTCTCCCTGTCCCTGCTTCTCAGACTCCCTGGCCCCAGAGGTCATGATCCACATCAAGGAAGGATGGAGAGGATGCTGGAGACACCGCTGGCTGCTCTGACCACTCGTGCTTCCTGAGGCCCCACCCTCTGCCAACACTGCAATGCTGCCATGAGGGCTCTAGGGACAGGACCCCATGGACCTTGGGCCCCTTCCCTTGTGCATTCCCCCACCCCCACCATGCAATGTGCCAGCCACTCTCATGCCTGTACCTTGAAAGACTCCAGGAATCCCCCATGGCCCCCATTCTCAAACTTGTCCTCTTCTGGGCCCAGTCCCAGCATAGCCTGAGTGTGGCTGTGAAGCTCATCATGGAGGTTGTCCAGCAGGGCGGCCCTCGTCCTGTCCTAAAAAGAAAGAGGGTGGAGATTACGGGGTGGGCATGGAGGAGGAGAGAGGTGCACCCTCTCCTGGGGGCTGCCGACACCTAGCCACCAGCATCTGGAGGACAGTGTGGACCGAGGGCTCCATGCTCACAAACACTGCAGTTACCAGGAAAGCTCTGTGGCTGGCCTCTGATCTCTCCCCTACCCCCTCTCCATGGGCCACCCCACAGCTCTACCCTGCTGACTCCCAGCTCAGATCTCTGCCTCAAGCTCCACAACCTGGTGTACCCAACTGCCTTCACTGCTCGTCTCCATCCAGGTGCTGGGCCAGGGCCATGCGTTCAACCTCCAGGGGGCACCATTCACACATGCCAGCAGCAGCCCCTTTGGGGACCTCCAGATGAGCAGATTCTCACAGACCTCGTCTCCCAAAGGCCCCCAGGTCAGTGAAGAGCCCCAGCAAAAGACCCAAGAGCTACCCCACCATTCCACTTCGCCCTACCCTAGACACAGGATCCTGACCCCAAACCATTTCCTCCTGCAGCCCATCTGAGCAAGCTGCCCTCATCCGTCCTGGGTTCCTTTTATTTTCCCCTTTCTTTTTTTTAAGATTTTTATTTATTTATTTGACAGAGAGAGAGACACAGCAAGAGAGGGAACACACGAAGGGGCAGAGGGAGAGGGAGAAACAGGGAGCTGAGCATGAGCCTGATCCTGGGCTCGATCCCAGGACCCTGGGATCATGACCTATGCCCAAGGCAGACGCTTAAGGACTGGGCCACCCAGACGCCCCTGTCCTGGGATCCTATAACAGCTTCTAACCTGCCACCCTTCCTGCCCTCCTCCCTAGCGAGCTGCTCTTCTCACTGACACCAGAGTAATCTAACACACAAAGCAAACCATTACTCTAAGTACTTTATGAGCACCTCATCACTTCTCAAGTTCAAAGCCCTTCCTGATCTGACCCAAACAACACCTCCACTGAGTCTCCACCCCAACACGAGTCCTCCTCTCAGGCCCCCCTCACACCCTCTGGGGCTCCCTCAAAAGTCATGTTCTGATCTGCCTAGCCTTTGCCTATTGCTGTTTCCCATGCCTGGAATAGCCCTCCCCAAGCTTTCCTCCTGGCAAAAGGCTCATCAGAGATCCAGATCCAGCAGCTCAAGGGCCACCTCCTCCAAGAAGCCCTCTCTGAACACATCCCAGTTCTTCAGGGGCAGAAGCAGTCACAGCTCCTGTGCTGGCCTCCATCATGGCCCAGTGCCAACACGTACCATAACCAGTCTCTTAAGTAATGGCCCCTTGCCACCAGCCCAAGCGCTCTGGAAGGCAGAAACCGTGGCTCACTTACCCCTGTATCACAGGGAACAGAACAGAGCCTGGCACACAGCAGGTTCTCAATAAATGACTGGTGAATGGTTGGCTAGACCTAAGGTATGGGTGGAGTTTCCACAAGAAGAAAGAGTTCCTATATCAACACAGGGCTGAAGGCTTAGAGGGGTGGGCAAAGACAGTGCTCCTCGCCTCGAGCACCCCCAAGAACAGACCCCCAGGAGAGGCTGGCTAACAAGCAGCCAGGAAGGCAGGGGGAAGATGTCCAGAAACAGCGCTCTCACCTCCAGCTTCGCAAACTTGTCTGACTTGCAGCAAGCATTCTCTGCGTTGGTGAGCTTGGTGAGCAGAAACTCCCTGAACTCCGGGCCCTGGAACAGACAAAAAGCTCTGCAACGCCACCAGCCCCAGGTGTGGCTGAAAGTGCTTTCAGCCACAGGAACAGGTATGCAGAACAGGGATTCTGGGGAGACCCCCTAAAGGATCCCCTTCTGACATGTGGTCATCTTTTAGCCCAGACGTGGACCACCTGCTAAGATGCCAACTGGTGGAAACCAGGTGTCCCAGTCCTGAGAAATCAATCCCCCACACACTGTTTCCATGACTGGAGGCCAGACTTGCTGAGGCTGCTTGGACTGTGGCGTACGTGTGAAAACCCTTCTTCTCCCACAAAGGCAACCCCGGAGTCAAATACCCTGACAAGGGGTGTTGTGCTAGGCCAGACTGGTAGCACAAGGAGAGGCGAGAGAGACCCCCCAAGGGAGGAGATTCCCCCAAGCCTGCCAAAGGGGCCTCCAGCCCAGATTTAGCCCCCATTCCAGCCATTGCCGCTCAGATCCTGAAACCTGGAGTCTTGGAGAAGAGAAGAGCGGAGAGGGGAAGTTCTTACCTTCTGGAAAACAGGAGGGCTAGGCAGAGGGGGGCCAAAGACAGGCACATCTTCCCGGGCCGTGACTGAGACCTGAAACAGAGTCTTGGTGTGGGCGAGGAGGGAGGAGATCCAGCCTGAGGATGATAACGCTTCCCGAGCCTTGGCCCTAGGGACGCCCACGGCTCACAGCACATGTCCTCCCTACCCCAGAATTCAAATACAAGCTCCCGTGAGCACTCACCAGCAGGGCCAAGCAGCTGCCGCTACAAGCAGGCCCAAGCTGCACAAAGCCATCCACACGCTCTCGTCTGCCTTCCTGGGGGCTGGCAGTGAGTCTGGCAAGATGACTGCCCAGGACTGAGCAGTTGCCTGGGCCCCGGCTTCTACTGCAGTACAAATGCCCAGGAGACCTTATCTGGTTACCTCATCTGACTGGATATTAATCCCACGGAGACGGCGAAGTGAGAACTGTTGACCCTGTTTCACTGATAAGGAAACAGAGGCCCAGACACTGGGGCCATCCAGATTTCCCGACCCCGCCATGGGGTTCGTTTCCCACAACACTGACTCCTGAACCTGGCCATACAGCAGAATCACTGAAAGTGGTTGAAAAATAAATACCGACTGCATGGGCTCCACCCCAAACCTCCTGAATCACAAGCTCTGGGACGGAGCCAGGAATGTGCAACAATTACGTGCTCCTCGGAGCCTTGGCGCGGTGGGTAAACTAGTGCTCTGGCGCCCTGAACCCACATGCGGGGTCAGACAGTCCAGGCGAGGCTTGAACTAACGGAGCGCCAGGGCCCAGGCTGGCAGCTGTGGGTGGGGGGGATATCAAGGCACTCTGCACAGAGCATCCCAGGCTCTAGGCATGCTATACCCTTCTGGCAAGCCCAGGGAGGCAGGAACTCATGGAGTGAGAGCACCCAGGTACTCTGTGTGGGGGGCTCCCAGGCTCAGGACAGACCCTGCACGCCAGCGGCTCTCCCTGCGTGGAGGTGCCCTGGTTTCACCTGTTCTCAGCCCACAGGGCCACAGGCCTCTCTGGAGACTCTGCCCGCTCCCCTTCCCAGACGGCCGCTGACGTGAGCCTGACTCTGGCACGCTGCCAGCCTCCCTGGCCTATGAAGTAGGGGAGATGCAGGGATTCTGCCAGACCGGGCGAGCAGGCAGCTCGGAGCCCAGCCAAGGGAAGGCCCTGCCAGGCTCTGGAAGGAAACAGTGGGAGAGAGCTGGTCAGTACAGCTTTCCCTCCCCAAGCTAAGGCTGTCTGCATGCCTGGAATTAAGAAATGGTGTGTGTTCAGCTGACGGGATTTCAGGCTGGTTCCTGCTGCCAAACACAGTCCCCCAGCACCACCCACTGTGCACAGGAATCTGGAGGGGGGGTGGTGGGAAGGCACCTGGGAAGAGGTCAGAGGTCAGGCCTCTGCCTTCTTACCACCCCAGTGCCCCCACTCCGGCTTATGCTAGAGTGGTCTATCCTGGCTGGCTAAGGAGCTTCAGCCATCCATTGGCCGAATCTCCCAGCCAGATAAGCCCACCACAGAAAAGCAGGGGACAGGACCCTTCCTGGTGATAGACGTGCATTGTCTATCCCTACAGGGTTCCCTCTCCTGACCCCTTTCCAGCACAGTGCCTGGGTCTTTGCTGTTCCTTTTTTTTTTTTTTTAAGATTTTATTTATTTATTTGACAGAGTCAGTGAGAAAGGGAACACAAGCCAGGGGGAATGGGAGAGGAAGAAGCAGGCCTCCTGCTGAGCAGGGAGCCCTGAAGGGCTCGATCCCAGGGTACTGGGATTATGACCTGAACCAAAGGCAGACGCTTAACTTAATGACTGAGTGACCCATATGCCCTGCTGTTCCCTTCTCTTGAGGACAGGTGGGTTGCTGGGTGGAACCAGAAGCTGCCAGAACACAACCCCACCTTCCGTTTTCTAAAGTCCATAGGTGCCTCCCAGCAGGGGGCAGGGCAGGGCTGAGGAGAGAGGATGGAAAGCAGGAGGAGGCTTGGGCCGTGAAGACAAGGATACACCAGGGAGGTAGGGCACCTCCCCGGACTGCAAACCTGAGATGCCACAGCAGTGCGGCCTGGCAGCCTTCACGATCTGTGCCAGGGTGCTCAAGCACCAGATCAGCCGGGAGGGGAAGGGCATACCCAGACAGGCCCCCTCCCCAGTGGTGTGCTTTGCATAGGGTTCCAGAGACCTCTGTAGGATTTCAGAATCAGGGCCAGTGCGAACTCAGACAGGAAGAGAGGGAGTCTGAGTGATGGCTCAGCTTCTAACAGGGCAGAGTAGGGACAAAATTCATGTCTGAAAAATCATGCAATGTAACCTTTTATGTACACCAGAGTTTGAGAGGCAAGTTCCCACCTGCTCCGACGGCTCAGGGATGCAGACCACAGGTAAGCCTGGACAGCGACTCTGGCTCCACCATTTCCAGGCTCTGTGGCCTTGGGCCTTAAGCAACTTAAGCTCTCAGCCTCAATTTCCTTCCTGGAAATTGAGGAAGAGAGACCCTGCCTGACCAGGGGCTTGGGAAGATTCTAGAAGACTGTGATTTTAAGAATCCAGCACAGTGCCTTATACGGAGCAAACACCTGGGGAGGGGTAACCTGCTACCTGGTGCTTTTGGTTGTTGTTGTTTTTTTTTAACTTTCCCTACTGACCTGTACCTAATAAAGGACACCTCAAATACTACAGAGTTCCCCTAAAACACTTCTTAACCTCCCTCCCTCTCTCTCTCTCACCCCTCCTTCTTCCTCGGCACCCCTGCCCTGGCCCCACTTCCCTTCCTGCAGTATGTCAGGGCTGGAGGGAACGCAAAGACTGTCTAGTCCAACTTCCTCATTTCACACAAATGGAAGCTGAGGTCCAGAGAGGGAAGGAACTGGCCCAAGGTCACAGAGCAGTCAGAAGCAGGGCCAGGACCAGAACCCCCAGCTCCTGAGCCTCTCAGTGTGGGGGCCCTTCCTGAACATTCCTACCCCTGTCCTTCCCTCCCTTTCCTCTTCTTTCCTCCCCTGTGGACGGCTCCCTGGGGCTATCTCAGCCTCTTCTGCTATAGCCCCTAAGTCTGCAGAGGTCAGCAAACGTCCCATTTTACCCTGGACCCTCTGAGGAATCTCCTAGGGTCCTCCCCAGTCTTCTCATCACCTGGTGTGCTGCTGGGAGTGTGACTGGACAGAGCTTTGGGGAGTACCTAGGAAGGCTGGTCTCCCTCCCTGTGCTCTGCACCCCTGGCCCCCCATTCACAGGTCTTGCCTTTCCGGCCCAGATATTTCCCCCGCAGGTGAACTACATGGTCCTGCAGCTTGGGACAGTCGGGCTCTTCCTGTGGGTCCTACTTCTCTGTGATCGCCACCATCTCTGAGGACAATGCTTTTCCCTGGACCATGGGCTGGGGTTGGGAGGATGTGGTAAAGACTTCCAGCATCAAAGCTGGAGGTGAGGTGCTGCTTTTTTTGGATCTCTGTATTTTCCCACTCCACTAAGCTCTTGGGAAAGTGGAGAAGCCAGTTAGCTGAGTTCCATTTCCTAGTGGGAGCTAAAAACAAATACTAAGCATCCACAAGGAGCCTCATTCTGCCAGCAGGGGCCCAGCAGACAAGCCACACATGAACCCATGACTGCCCGGCAGGGGCTGGGAGCCTTCCCACCACACAGCTTGACCTTGAAGACCCTCCTCGGTGGCCCTCTGCCTCTACTGGCTGTGGAAAGAGCCACTTGGCTGTCTGAGTGGCCCAGTGGCTGAACTCCACCTCAACGGTCCCCTCTCTCTCCCGAGAGGCCAGTTCTATACATCACTTCCACATGCCCCATCCCTAGCCAGGCCCACAGGAGGCACCAACTGAATACACTTGCTCCCATCAACAAACTGGGGAGCTGTCTGACATGAATCCCCATTTTGGTCTAGGAAGTTGATCCTTCAAGGAAATGCCCAAACCACAGCTTTTCTGACTTTTTGGCTAAAACTGCTCAGTGACAGAGGAGCAGGAACGCAAACAGGGGGATGTGAAAGAATTAGCTTCCCTCATAGGAGAGAGTGTGAGGTTCTATTTGTAGTCTCATATTGAGTTTTAAAGTTGATGTGAATTATGCACTTAAAATATGTGGGTTTCTACTGATGTAACAATTATATGACATCATTTTTCTTTTCCAACATCTTTGAGAAAGAGAGAGAGAGACAGAGACGGGGCAAAAGGAAAGGATCTCCAGCAGACTCCCACTGAGTGCAGAGCCCAACACAGGGCTTGATCCCATGACCCTGAGATCATGACCTGGGCTAAAACCAAGCAAAGTGGATACTTCGTGAAGGTGGCCATGAAGCACTAGGGACTTGTGGGCTCAAGAGATGACACAGTTATTACATTTTCAGGTTTCCCAATTTCCCCTTAGCAAAGATGCGCTCATTTCCCTGTTATAACAGTGGTTCCTAGCACTTTAGGGAACAGGGAGTCCTCTGAGTATTTGAGCTTTGGTTTCTCTCCCCCTAAAACAAAAGCAGCACCTAAACTCAACATTCTTTGCATAAACAACATTTTGCATATAACCACAATGGGTTCTAAGGCTGACACCCACTTTAAAGACCCTGCCTCAATCTAGCTCCCTTGGATCCCACACCCCCAACACCACTGAGATGGAGAGCAACTGTTGCCCAAGAGGTCAGAACTGCTTCTCATGGAGAAGAGAAGGGCAGGGCTGGTGGTACAGTCACCAGGAATGGGCAGGGTGAGGACTGCTGGGGCTTACCTGCATTAGGGAGGATACTAAGCCATTCTGGAAGACCACTTGTTGATCTGGAGGCTCAGACTCAGCCACTTGCAACCCCACCTCCCTGGAGTCTTCAAATTAAAATCAATCATTTCTTCCAGAACAGCTAAACCAGAAGGACCCACCCCATGGCCAGGGTCTACCAGGCCCCCTACTCACCACCATTCTCACCATAAACATTTCTCCTTTACCTTCTTTCTCTTTGTTACCACCCCTCTTCCTCTCCCTTTCCTGATGGTCCCTCCACCCCCAACCTTCTCTTTTTTTCTCTCCTCTGGCTCTGCCTTAGTCCAGCCAATGGCATCACCAGATTCCAAACAGAGGCACCAGGAGCTTCTCAACCCTTGAGTGAGATGCTGTTGAACCCACAGGCAGCCAGATGGATGAGATGACCTCAGAAGGTGACTTCCACCAAGTCCAGCTCCCAAATCCCAGAAACCTGGGATTTCTAGAAAACTAATCACACCAATGCTAGGAGTATCATTTTGGAGAATGGCCTGAGAAGCCATGGAGAACTAGTGGTCCTCGACATTACTAAATCCAGAAGGTATGGTAAAGTGCCTGAGCCCCCCAGTTCCTCCAACGAGCATTCTTCTCACCTTGTAGGAAGGGGTCTCCGTGCCCGGGTTCTCAGCCTGCACGACAATGTAGGCGTGTAAGAAGTTGGAGGCAATCATATCTGGGACAAACGGTGTGTTTTCTTCTTGGAAGATGATGGCCACAATGTCATTCCCAATGTGTCTCTTTCTCTGGAGCTAAACAAAAAGTGGTCATTGTTATAAGCCAGCTAGGAACAACCTGAAAACAGACAAGATCTAGACAGGAAAGTCCTCATTATTCTATCTTTATACAGAAACCCTGTAACTCTGAGACCTAGCTCTCCAGGGGAGTTTTCCCCCCCAATCTTCAGAAGCCACCAAAAAGAAAAAAATGGGGAAGACTAGATAGGTAGCGGCTAGTAAGCATGTTACAGAGCTCTAGAGGAGCCAGGGTCCTGACACAGGACTTGGGGAGAATGGTTAAAAGATGAGGAATGGGTTTTGCCCTGGCAGAACCTGTAATGGGTCTGGAAGGGACAGAAACACAGATGAAGCTGCCTGAGAACAGTAACAAAGGCACCAGCCAGCAGGTGCTACGTCGGCTGCCACACACAAAACATCTGGCACTATGGGGGCAGAGAGGAAGGCAAAATCAGAGGCCTGGCGCTAACTGGAGAAGGCTTCCTGGAAGAGGAGATGGGGTGGGTGGGCAGTGCTTGAAGGAAATGTGGATGCGCAGGGATTAGCGAGCAGAGGGAGAGCCATGCTTAGAGAAAGAGAGCAACCTGGCTTGGCAGGGGTCACGGGAGAGAAAGCCATGCCTGATTCAAACTGGGCCAGGTCCTTGCACAGGCTCACTCAATCACCGAGCAGCTACTGTGCGTCAGGAACCATGCCGTGCTGTTCGCATGTGTGACTTCAAATACTGGGGCCACGGAGTCCTGGCTAGGTGCCTACCTATGCGTTTGTTCCTCGATTAAGCGCCTCAGGCATGCAGGCTCTACGTTTCACATTGACTTTTATATTTACGGAGCACTGCTGTAGACTGAGCCCCAGGTTGGGCACTTTTACACGAATTGTCTCACTTATCCCACCCACCTCCTCCCATTTCTTGGGAGCAGAAAATTAATATTTATTCAGCCCTTGCAGAAAGCCAAGCTCTGTGTACTTCCCACTGAATATAGGGGAGACTGAAAGAAAGCCCCAGGCTGGGCAGGGGGCGAGGAGGCCATGAGGGAACAGAGACAAAGGTGAAACATGGAGAGAAAAACCTACTTTGGATTCAAAAGGAATCCTGCTCCCATTTGTTTCTGGAACATTCCGTGGTTATTTTAGAGCCAAATCACAGTCTCATTTGCCAATTTCCTTTTTCCCTACGAAGCCAGGCACTATGTTTACAGTATTACATCTGTGCTCCCTCCTCAGCTCCCTGCTCAGACAGGAATGGGTCAGAGTCTGGGGAAGAGCCTACCTTCCTTTCTGAGTTTCCTAGAGACTGAAAAGGCACAAAGAGTGGGAGGGGGCAGATGGTGCAGCAGCCAGGCCTCAGCTGCTGATTTCAGGGCTCCCCGAGAAAAGAGCTGGGCCACCTTGGGGACACACCACTCTCCAAAGCAGCAAATGAGAGGGAGGGCAGGACAATGCTGGATGCAGAGGTCTCATCCAGGTTCCCTGGTTGAGGTGAAGGCCGAGCTCCTGTCCATGAGCAGGTGCAGCAAGAGATGAGACTAGAAAGGTTGAGAGGTGGGGGGCAATAACCACTGTTGGGGGGTCCTGCCACCCATCACTGGGGCAGGAAGGAGGGCCATGGTCAGGAAGGAAGCCTGCCACAAGCCAGGCACCATACTGAACCGTACCTTCAGAACCTTCTGTGATGCCCCCAACAATCCTGTGACTTAGGTGGTCTTATCTGTTTTGCAGCTGAGGAGCATGAGGCCACAAGGTTAACCAGCTTGCCCAGAGCCACATACCCCCGAGTGACAGAGCTGGCGTCAAGCTGCTACTTGCAAATGCTATCATGTCCTCCTCACCACCACCCTACACAAGCAGGGCACTTGGACTCTGCTCCCAGCTCTGCCCCCAACCACGCTGAGCTGCAGTTTCCCCACCTGTCAGAGCGAGACAAGCAGGAGCCCTGTCCTTCCTCCCACACCAGGTGCCATGACAGGCCACAAGGGTGAGACACATTGTGAACAGACTGGCCTCTGGATTATGAAAGTGGGAAAGGGGACCAGCCCCTCAAGTACCCAACACCAGAAGCTGGCTTTCACCTCACATGCCCCACGCTCCCAACGCCCTCCCGATCCAGGTTACCTGCTGGGCGTCTCCCTCGGTAAACGGCAGCTTTGTGGAGACGTGAAACATGATCTCTCTGTCCCGGAATATCGTGTACACGGATTCCACCCCCGTCTGTCCGTGGGTCACATCCAGGCCTCCGCGAAAACTGTCAGCAAAACAGGGCAAGAGCAGGAAGGGAGTAAGTGTGAGGAAAAGTAGGCTACGTGGTGCCTTCCCTGAGGATACAGGGGCCGGAGAAGGAACAAGAAGACACGCGAGAGTGGGGGCACAGACAGAATGATAGGCCCGGCGCGGGGGGTCTGGGCTCCTGAGTACCCGAGACCCAGAGGTCTACCCATAAGCCTCTTGTTTAAGAGACAGAGGCAGAACATCCATCCGGCCAACAGGAAGGGAGGTCACCCATCCTCAATCCCAAACGCCATCCCGGGTGCCAGCGGCCCCCACGGCTGGGCATAAGCCTTTCCTCTCCGCGAGGCCATGTCCAAGTCCTCAGCCCAGAGCCAGGGCAACCAGCTCTCCTGTGGGAGCATCCAGAGGCAGCGTGAAGAAGTGACAGACTCTGGATTTCTGCCCAGCCAGTCCCTCACGCGGAGACCCAGCCACAGCAGCATCCACCCCAGCGGTGTCCAAGGAGCCCCTCTCCGGTATCTCCTCAAAGGCAGGAAAGAAAAGTACTAAGACCCTGGGTGGGCTTCCGGGAGCCACCCCTTCTTCCTTTCTAGACGTGGGCTCCCGGCCATGGGTCACAGTCTTCAGCAAGGGGAGGGGATGCAGGTTCCTTTAAGAAAATTAAATAAAGCACACCCTGGATGTCAGTCCCCGAAAACGTTGTAAGACAAACCAGAAAACGTGCTCCTCCCGGCATGGCGGGAAGCTCAGCAGGCTGGGGGTCAGGCGCTCTGGGTCCTGCCGATAAGCCAACGCGTGACCTCGGGCACATCACTTCACCTGTCCTCATCTGCCTCAGTTTCTTCCTCTACACAATAAAGGGCTAGAAGTCCATGATCTCTGGGGTTCCTCCTGGTTTTAAGAGCCTTTACTTCATCTATTCTTTTTTTTTTTTTTTTTATTTTTTTTTTTTTTTTGTTAGAGAGAGAGAGGGAGAGAGCGAGCATCGGCAGACAGAATGGCAGGCAGAGGCAGAGGGAGAAGCAGGTTCCCTGACGAGCAAGGAGCCCGATGTGGGACTCGATCCCAGGACGCTGGGATCATGACCTGAGCCGAAGGCAGCTGCTTAACCAACTGAGCTACCCAGGCGTCCCTACTTCATCTATTCTAAGGCACACCTTTTTTCATACTTGAACATCTCTGAAACCAGGATGCATCTTACAATGATGGCTCCTCAGAGCTGACGGAAGGGGGCACAAGAAGAGCAAGAATGGAAGGACTCCCCGCGCTAACTCTGCATGGGGCCCCAGCCCTGCTACTTCACATGCAGGATCTACTTGAATCCCTCAACAACCTGGCGGCATCAGCACTATCTTTACCTCCCGCTACAGAAGAGGAAACTGAGGCTTTCAGGGGTTAAGGCACTTGTTCAAAGACACAGAGCCAGTAAGTGGTGGAGATGGGACTTTTACCCATGTGTGACTGACGCCAGGTGGCAGTGATGACCTTGGAGGGGGAAAGAAGAAGTGGAGAAGAGAAGGGAGCGGGGAAGAAAGTAATAACTGAACACCACTACACACCAGGCCCAGAGCTGGGCACTTTCGCACCTGATAGGAGATCCTGTCAATCTGGCTGACGAAGCAGGGGATCCCTGGGGTTCAGCGGCATGTCAGCCACAAGGCACAGAACAGGCTGGCCAGGCCGGAAGTTCCGGTCAAATGTTGCCTTTGTCAAGGGAAATCAAGGGCCAGAGTTTTCCAAGCATAGTCCCAATATTCTTTCTTCCCACTTAAGAGAATCAGAGGCTACCGCACAAATTTCTGCCAGGGAGATTACTGTATTTCCACCACTTCTTAATTATCCATTCTTTCTGTGTATTCTCTGAAATGGGCCCCTTCCCCTGACAGGGCCCTCTTTCCTGAAGGCCTGGCCAGTGAGTGACAGAGAAGGTAGATTCATTTCACTCTTGGTCAGAGCAGTTTCATTACACATTGGAAAGCCAGTGTCAGTGCCATTCAGAGAATGTGCCATTCTGGGTTATCCCCCACGTCACCCGTTTTCTTAGGGATGCAGGGGAATATTGGTCACTTGCCAAAAAACAATCCCATGTTTCCTGTGTGTGTTTTCACCTTTCACATACCCCCGAGACTCAACTGTTGCCCCTCTCCCTTACTCCAGGCTTTCATCACTAGGGCCAGAGCCCTTGGCAGAAACTCACCCTTTGAAATCCTGCAGTGTGATCGTGTCCCCCAAAAGGTCCAAGAACTCCTTGAAAGCTGGACTCTCCTCATTGTTTCCAAACAGCTCTTCCTCCAGGGTCTGAAAGAGAAACAGAATCAGGGTAAGAGTCAGAAAGAAAAGCCTTCTTGATGCCAAGGGAAGGAATGTGGCTGCCCAGCTACCTGGTCCTTTTCTTCCTTTCTCCCCAGCCCCAAGACATTTGCCAACCACTGCCTCTGCTTGACTGGAGGAAGAACAAATAGCATTCAGTCAGCAGAGCCGGAACTTCGGGGCTGGTTAGTGAGGACTTGCCAGCACAACACAGGCTGCTGGCCAGCGCAAAAGGCAGAGCTGAAGCAAAGAGTTCTTAGACTTGATACCAAAATCCATTCCATTAATGAAAAATTAATAGTTGGACTTCTGACAAAGGACTAGTAGCAAGAATATATACAGAACTCTCAAAACTCAGTAGTAATCAAAATCATAATCTCTCTCCCTGGGTGGCTATAATCAAGAAGAAAGACAAAAACTGACAGAGAGGGGGTACCTGAGTGGCTCAGTCAGCTGAGCAGCAGACCCCTGATTTCAGCTGGGGTCAGGAGCTCAGGGGCCTGGGATCGAGCCGCATGTCAGGCTCCAAGCTCAGTGGGGAGTCTGCTTGAGGAGTTTTCTCCTCTCCCTCTACCTGCCCCCTGCTTGCTCTCTCTCTCCATCCCTCTCTTAAAGAAAAAAAAAAAAATACATCTTAAAAAAAAAAAAAGAACTGATGGTGAGGATATGGAAAAGTCAGAAGCCTCATACACTGCTGGTAGGAATGTAAAACGGTGCTGTCTCTTTGGAAAACAGTCTGGCAGTTCTTCAAAAGGCTAAGCATAGAGTTACCATATGGCCCAGCAATTCTACTCCTAAGAATATATCCAAGAAAAAGGAAAACATAAGTCCACATAGAAACTTGCACATGAATCTTAAAAGCAGCATTATTCATAACAGTCCAAAAGTGGAAACAACCAGAATGTCCATCAACTGACAAACAGATAAACGAAATGTGGTATGTCCATACAATACATAATTCTGCCGTCAAAGGAATGCAGGACTGCCTCATGCCACAACATGGATGACCCTTGAAAACATGTTAAGCAAAAGAAACTAGACAAAAAAGACCACATATTATGATTCCATTTACACAATGTGTTCGGAACAGCCAAATCCATAGAGACAGAAAGTAGATTTGTGATGACGGGAGCTGGCAAGAATGGATATGGATGGACCGCTAATAGGTATGGGGTTTCTTTGGGGGTTGATGAAAATTATCTGGAGTTAGATAGTGGTGATGGTTTTATAACTCTGTGAATATACTCCAAGCCACTGAGTCGTACACATTTGAATCATATTAAATGTGAGTTACACCTCAATAAATCTGTTATGAAAAGTTTCGAACAGTTAAAAAAAAAATCCAATTAGAAAATGGTCAAAAGAGGGGCACCTGGCTGGTTGGTCGGGACAGCATATGACTCTTGATGTTGGGGTTGTGAGTTCAACCCCAATGTTGGGTGTAGAAATTACTTAAAAATAACATCTTAAAAATAACGGAAATGAGGGGCACCTGGGTGGCTCAGTGTGTTAAGCCTCTGCCTTCGGCTCAGGTCATGATCTCAGGGTCCTGGGATCGAGCCCCACATTGGGCTCTCTGCTCAGCGGGGAGCCTGCTTTTTCCCCTCTCTCTCTGCCTGCCTACTTGTGATTTCTCTCTCTCTCTGTCAAATAAATAAATAAAAAGATTAAAAAAAAAAAAAACGACATGAATAGTCATTTCACCCAAAGAAATATATACAGAGGGCAAATAAGCACATGAAAAGATCTTCAACACCATTAGCCGCCATTAGGGAAATACAAATTAAAACCATTATGAGACATTACTACACATCTATCAGAATGGCTAAAATTAAAAAATAGTAACAACACCAAATGCTGGTGAGGATGTAGAGGAAATGGATTACGCATACATTGCTGGTAGGAATGCAAAATGGAACAACCACTCTAGAAAACAGTTCAGCAGCTTTTTACAAAACTGAACATGTAATTACCATAAACCCAGCATATGCTCCTCGGCATTTACCCCAGAGAAATGAAAATTTATGCTCACCCAAAAACCTATATACAAATGTTCACAGCAGCTTTATTCATAATCCCCCCAAATTGGAAACCACCCAGATATCCCTCCAAGGGTGACCAGTTAAGCAGACCACAGTATAGTCACACCACGGAATACTACGCAGCCATGAAAAAACAATGGACCCCACCCCCTTACAGATACACAGAAGAATTTGGATGAATCTCCCTGAGTGGGAAAAAGAGCCAATATCCAAAGGTTATATAGTGTATGATCCCGTCTATGTAACAATTTTCAAATAACAAAGTGTTAGAAAGTAGAGAATACATTAGTGGTTGCCAGGGCTCAGGGACTGGAGGTAGGAAGGGATGATGGAGGCAAGAAGGAGGTGGGCATGCTTATGAAAGGGCCACATAAGGGATCCTTGTGTTGGTGGACTTCTTCTGTATTTTGACTGTGAAGCCTACACTGTAATAAAATTATATACAATGAAATACACACACACACACACACACACACACACACACACACACACATCCCTATGGTCACATGAAAGCCTGGAGAAGTCTGAATAAGATCTGAGGATTGTATCAGTGTCAATATCCTGGCTGTAATTGCGCACTACAGTTTTATAAGACATTACCTTTGGGGAAAACTGGGTAAAGGGCACACAAGAGCTTTCTGTATTATTTCTTAAAACTGCATGCCAATCTACAAACATCTAGAAGTTAAAAGTTTAATAATTTAAAAAAAGTAGAAAGCAAAGCTGAAAATGGTAGTAAGCTCTGCCCTTGTGACAGGATCCAAGCAGTGCATGGCCCTGCCTGATCAGCAGGCTCTGCCCACTGAGGCAGGATCGGCAAAGAGCAATGACTCACAAACATCCACAGATGGCAGTTCACAGCTGCAGATGACCCGGGAAACTCCAGCATGAGCAATCCCTTCAAGGAGAAAGTCTTTAATAGGTGACTCTTTAATATCTCCTTAACACCTGCTTCATCACAAAAAAGAGCAGATCCCAGGTTCTATGCCTTCAACGGGCAGCAAAATCTAGCTAGATTTCAATAACTTCACTCTTTTTCATGGTATTTCCTTTTTCGAATGACCTTCATTTCATGCAAGGGATATTGATTTTCTAATTAGAATGGTGATACAAAATTTCCTTTAAACCATGCATGTAAGGTGGGAAAAAAAGGCTTTTTAAAGAAAATGTGAGGTAGTTAATAGTACAGGTGCAATAAAAAGTGTAAGAGAGGCAAACAGGAGAAAATGTGATCTTGGATGTCATTTGTGAATGTCTGAAGTTTGGGAAACATGGCCCTCTAGCAGGGGTCAGCAAACTGTGGCCCAGGGGCCACATCCAGTCTGCTGCTTTATAAATAAAGCTTTATTGGAACACAGTCAGGACTATCCATTTGATTCTGTCTATGGCTGCTTTTGCAATACAAAGGCAGGGTTGGGTAGTTAGTTCCACAGAGACAGTACGGCTCATGAAATCTGAAATATTAATTATCCGGCCAATCACAGAAAGTGTGCTGATTCCTGCTGTATAGAGAGCATGCCACAAAGGCATCACACACAACTCTGACCCAGCGTGCTGTTTACCCCAGGTCGTGAGGCCAGAGTGTGCGAGAACAGCTGCTTCCAGGTAACACACATCTTCTCTGGAGAAAGCAATCCAGCTTATTCAGCAGGGCGTGCAGCTCTCGCTAGGACGGACACCCAGCCTGGTGCTAGCAGCGTATTTTTACACTGGCCATGAGTCTGACCATGTGCTCAGGGAGGGGGTCTTAGTCAACACTGTGTCTGACAAACAGGAGAATTAGAGGGAACTTACTTGTATCCTAAGAACGGCATAGAGCTTTCATGCAACAAATGTTCATATAACCTGCCCCATGGGTATAGGTCTGCAAAACAATAACTTTTTTAAAAGTCTTTTAAAAAAGACTTTTTTCTCCCTGTGTACCTCCACCGGGGCTCAGCAGCATCCAGTAAATAAACAACACCCAGACTCCTCCCAGAGGTGGATGGTTAATGTTTGGTAATTATAATTTTGCTAGAACACTGGGTTGTAATCATCTTATGAGATTTGCTACGGTAAATTTCACAAGCAAAACTTTAATTAGGGGGGTTATATTAGCAGACCTGTACAAAATAAATATGCAATATATAAAAATAATTAGAGCAGCTACCTGAATAATCTCCCTTCAATTATAAGATTCATCCGTGTTGGCCTCCCAGCTACTAAACTCTTCACTTAATTAGACTGTTTTTAAGCAAACACACTTCTCTTGTGGTCTAGTAACTTCAGACAAGGAAGTCCACTATCAGCTAGTCAAGAAACACACCATCACGGGGAAAAAAAAAACAAAAACCCCATAGATAATGTTGAAAGATACTATCAACTGACCTACCATAAGAGCACCGAAACTTTTATCCATTGATTCACACAGAAAAAAGTTATTGAGTGTTATTTCCATAAAACCACCATGCTAGGCTCTTGGGTGATACCAGAATAAACCTGGTGTAGAACCTTCTAGGTGAGGAAGCATGGGTGTGTTCAGCAGCCCACTTCTCAGGGTGTTAATGCATGTCCATGATAGGCAAGACGGGAAGTTTGTGGTCAAATAAGTATGGGAAACACTGTGTTCAAAAAAGCTCTGTGAGCTCTTTACCCTGGGGTTCTTAGAGCCTTTAAAATGTTCCCACACAATCGCCCCCACCTCAAGGAATTTGTTCACAGAGTACCCACCAGGCCAGCATCTCATGGAACACACTTCGAGAAACATTATCCTGACCACCTAACCTCAAAGCAGCATAGAAGTGCTATGACAGACAGAGGAGGGGGAGCAGTAGTGTACCGGGAAATTTTTTTTAACAACCAGGTTTCCAAAGAGGGAAAGCAGGAGCCCTAGTTTGCGAATTTCCTGGTGTAAATACTTCCGCCATGGCTGATTTCAAGCCACCGGCATGACATTGCGGAATGCAGAGCTGGAAAGAGATGCACGCAATGCTCCAGCAATCTAAGAAAGTCCAGGGAGAAAGAACTAATTCCCAGCTGGGAGAAGGGCAGGCAAGGAGAAAGCAGCTTGTGCTAATCCATTCCCTCTACCCAGTCTGATTATTCTTAGGACAACAGCCCATAGTTCAATATAAGCTGAGGTAGCCAAGAAGAATTAGAAGTTCCTTTATGAAAAATGACACTGCTGTTTAAAGGATGTGCAGGCCTTCTTGTGAGGAGGAGCCCACCTTGAAGATCCTGTCACCTCCAGCCTAATTCATCCTGTAACGTGACTGTTGTGCTTAGCATGTGGAAGAAGCTAGCGTAGAGCTTCTGTGCTTGAAGGGAGGCAAAGAGGGAGTCCCCAGAGAGAAACCACAGGGTATAGTGACCAGTATGGATTTGTGATGCTTACCTGCCTGGCTTTTTGATAAATAACCCCAAATTTGAACGTGTTGTTGACATCGTGCTCATCATAGGACACAATCATTTGGGAGGCCTAGAAAAATGTAGAGAGAAAGAAATCAGACTGTTTATTAACTGAGGGACAAGGGAGGAAGCAAAAGGAAGGGAAAGCACTCATTCTGGTGGAGAATGTGTCCCCATGGTGTGAGACATCCACACATGTGCGGGGAGGCACAGGGGGAAGCCAGAGGTCTCAGCTGGTTCCCAGACTGGGGCTCTCCCACGGCAGCCACACCTCTGGATCTCCACACCATTCCCATCCAGATGGGCCAGCCAAGGCCTGGGAGTCCAGCAAGATTCAAGGAACAGACTTGCCCCAGTGTTTCATCTGTGATGTAAAGAGTGAAGGGCCCCAAAATTGGTCAGCGAGGATGATGCTGGCCCTAATTACCTCTGATCAGCATACGATTTTAAGCAAGGCACTGCTCATGCCCAGACTTCAATCCCCCTTTATCCATTAAGTGAGAGGTCTCTAAGGAGGAACACACAATATGCAAAGGGAGGGTGGGGTGGGCAAGAACCCCGACCACTGGTTTGGTTTAGTTTTCTCTTGTGCCTCCGTGTTGCTGTCCAGGGCTCAGAAACACCAAACTCTGTATCTTGAATCTGCTGCTTTTACCTGCCTAGCTTTGAGTGAGCCATTTTACTTCTCTGGACCTCAGTTTTCCCATCCATTAAATGGAGATGTGTGGTTGTGAAGATTCAGTAACACCAGGCACGTAAGGTGCTGAGCAACAGAGCAGCTATCACCATCATCATCCTCATCATCTGTGTAACCCTCCAGAAAGGTCGGAGCTGAACCAGCTTGTTGGGAAGGAGGAGACTTGGGCTTTATTGGGATAGTCTCTGCAGTAAAAAGGAGGGATCTGACCACATATTACACAGGAGGGACAAACAAGACATGTCTGGTGGTTCGGCATATGCAACCCAAGGGAGGCTCTGAGCCACCCAAGGAAATGGGCGCTTCTCAGCTCCGCCGGGAACGGCACTGCTGCCCAGGCCCAGAGGGAGACCCCACACCCACATGGAACAGTCAAAGTTGCAGACCAGCTGCCCTGCCAGGGAAGAGGCATCCAGCCATGGAGAAGGCCCCACAGAACGTTCTAGACTCTATGAATTACACACACACACACACACACACACACACACACACACACACACCCCTCCCTCAGCCAGATTAACACCCCAGCCGGACTAAGTGGTCCTTCAAATACAGAAAACAAGAAAATACAGCTGCTTTTCCATTATTACCAGAGCCGGAGGCTTTCCAAGTCACAGGGAGAACTGTGCAAATGAGCACCGTCCCCAGCTTCTCTCGGCAGACAGGATTTGATGACAAAAACCTGCCAAACTTGTAGTTAAATAAGGCCTTCGTGACAGGGTTTTAATGTTTAGTTAAAACTCACTAATTCAGCTTTAATTATAAAGGGAAGGGTAGCCTGAATGAAAGAAAACGCCTATGGGGGGCAGCTTATTCTGGGGAGAGCCTCCAGACGTGCAGAGGGTGTCTGAGAGAGGGGGGCTCTGGCACATTCCCGTGCAGGTGAGGACCCTGCCGTTAGCTCAGTCACAGCACAGGGATGAATGGTGTCAAACACAACCATGAACATCCAAGCCATGTGTTCCAGGGGGGGGCCGAATTCCTCGGCCAGGACAGGGCCTCTCTTCCCCACCCAAACATTCCAGCTAGCCATCCCTCAATAACAGCAGCGGGGTGCAGGGAGCGGACTGAGCCAGCCCCAGCAAGCCTCCACGGCCACTGTGTGGGTGCGCAGGGTGAGCTTCGAAGCACCACTCACTTCCCCTTCCGGCCCTCCAGACCCTGCCGGCTCATGAAGCAGTCTGCACACCGGCTATCTTCCCATGGCCAATTTAAAGCAATTCACTGTCCATGAGTGATTTAGGTCCTGTCGTGCCGTAATTGTTCTTGAGTGGGCTTGTTGGTTTAGTTTTGTTATTATTGTTCCTCTGCCCACCCACACTCCCACAACTGGGGTCAAATTCAGGCCAGTCCGAAGGAAACTGATAACAGAACCAGCCTGTTTATTAACTAGGGCTGTGCAGGGGCTGTAAGGCCTCAGAGCTGCAGTAACACTGGCAACGGGAAGCCACGATCTGGCCTTTTCTCTCTTAGTGGGGTTCTGCCCCCTCGCTCCTCCATGATGGCAGACCAGATCTGCACTAACCCTCCAGCTATAGGTGGAATCACTCCCTACATCAGAAAGGCCTCCAGGAAGTATGACGAGAATAAGGGGGAGAGGTCACAACACTGCAACCCCTCTACCGCCCCCACAACAGATGGGGACCAATTCAGGTGGGTCTCACCCCAGGCACGGCCAAGGACAGGTTTCCAGTGGACCAGTTTGCAAAGGGGTGAGAAGGGAGAGGGAGAGACATGGAGGTTTATTGGAGACCCCACAAAACCCCACCAAGATGCACAGAACATCCCACAGAGCCACCGGTATGCAAATCCATGCCAAGCTACAGAGCCCTGGGAGAGGGGAGGAGGTGAAGGTCCTCACCTTGGGGTATAGGATAGGGTTGAATTTCAGCCCCACAGCGTCATCACAGAAAGCCTAAGCAGGAAGAGAGAAACACACAGTTCAGGGGCCATTTCCACTGAAAACATTGGGGCTGCAGGGTCAGAAGACCCGGGGCTGAATCCTGGCTCTGCTGCTCACTAACTAGTGGCCAGGAAAGCCAACTCACCTTCCTGGGGTTTCCTGATAAACTGAGGCCACACAGAAGGCATTCAGCACAATTCTGCTTGGCATTCCTGCTCCCAACATGTGGGTCCGACCATCCTTCTCACCCCACTTTGCTGACTCAGTTCTCAAGCTCCCAATATCTCAGAGCAGAGACATGGGTCCCTCCACCAGCTGATGGACAGCTCCTTACTCAATGTGGGGGTGGGGGGTGTCCTCTGTCTGGACCTACAGCCTAGCCGTCCTCCAGCCTATCTCTCCTGTGTTGTGAAGACTGTCTGGCCACCCGACCTCATCCTCCTCTCAAGTCCTACAGTACTCTGCATAGCCAACCCTTTCTTTCCATGTCTCTGGTCCCCTGGACCAGCTGTGAACTTGGGGGTGGAGGCCATGAGCAGCCTCAGCTGTGAGGATGAGATGGGGAGGTTGTAGGCAAGATGAGGACATCTGCCAATAGCCCTCCCTCACCCCAACCATGGCATCAAGGGCCAAAGAGCATAGTGGCCTTCCCCTCTCCAAGGACAGAGCCCTCTCTGGACGAGCCTGCACCCTTGCCCCAGCCCTGGGCTTAAGAAAGGAAGCCCACTTCTCACAGGGGTTGGTTGTTACCTTTGCAATCTGAGGGACGCTGGGCAACTTGTTCAATCCAGCCAAGGGGATCCTTTCATGCACTGTCTTCACTTTGGACCTGCACATGTGAATGAAGGTGAGAAAAGGGGTCTATGAGAAAGGAAGTCCATTAGGAAAAGCACTGAGGTCACACCAGACCACAAGGCACACTAGCTTTGCATCTCCCTGGGTCAGATCTGCTGCATTTCACCCAACCCGTGAGCTGGGCGCCACACTCAAGTGGTGGGAAAATGGAATCTTGTACTTATCCCGGAGGAGGGTATACTGTTATATCTCTGCAACCGAGATGTGGGATGTGTGGAGAGTCACCTTCAAGTTCACCATGATTTTGGGGTTGTTGTGGGGATGTTTTGTGTTCTCCCAAAGAACTGGGCACAACTTCTGGATAGATGTGTGTTCTCACATGCAATTAAGCTTTTATGAAAAGAAAAATCTAATACTTAAAAAATCTAGATTTAGTCAAAATATAAAAGGGATGAAAGTTGCTTTATAAAGGGATTCACCGTAAGACTCTAAATTTAGCCTGTTCCCCTGATTCCTTTAGCACATTATGAAAGTGTTGAATTTTACTGAATGCTTTTCTGCATCTGCTGAGATAGTCACATGGTTTTTAATCTGTTAACCTGGTAGATTACACTTCTGTTGAGCCATCTTTTCGTTCCATGGGTAAAACTCGCTTGCTTATGATGTATTATTTTTTCATATCCTGCTGACTTTAATTTGTTAATATTTCCTTGAGACTTTCATATCAATAGCAACACTGGCTTTTTTATTTTCCTTGTACTTCACTTGTCAGGTTTTGATATCAAGGTGTTATCCCAGCCTCATAAAATTGCTGAGGAGATTCTGAACCTTTGAATTCGTTTGTATACACCACAGGGACTTACTGTTCCTTAAAGGTTTGCTAAAACTCATCCTTGAAATCTCTGGGCTTCCTGGGGGTTTTTTTTTGGGGGGGGTGAGGAGGGGTGGGATAGCTTTGGCTATCGATTCAGTTTATTTAACGGTGAATATTTAGGTTTTCTACTCCTTATTGAGTCAATTTCGGTCATTTATGTTTTTCTATATAATTATCCAACAGTGCAGTGACATATTATGGGTTTTGGTATTCTCTTAGGACTTAACCTGTACTTATAATCACACCCCTCCCTTCAGTGTCTTAACATGATCTGTTTGCATCTTTTCTCTGTTTTCCATAATCAGACCTTGATGGGGGTGTACCTATTTTATTAATCTTCCCAAAGAGACAATTTTTGGCTTTGTCGTCTCCATTCCTTTTTATTGTTGCTTTCTACTTCACTAGCCTTGTTCTTTGTCTTTTTTATTTCCTTCCTTTGTATTTCCTTTGGGTTTTTTTTTTTTTCCTGCTGCTCTTTTTCTAACTTCTTGACCCGCATGCTTACACAGTTAACTTTCTTCTTTTTTACAAATGCATTTTAAACTATCCATCTTTCTCTCTAACTACCACTTGAACTGCATCTCACAAAATGCTGGGTGGTATTTTCACTGTCATTCAGTTCTAAATATTTTGTCAGTTCTTTCGTGATTTCCTCTTTAGTCCGTAAGTTAAAGGGTCGCCTTCTTTTTTTTTTTTTTAGCTTCCTACATGTTCTCTTCCTTCAGTAATTGTTGATTTCTCACTTAATCTTCCCAAGTTCAGAGAACATAATCTGTATGTTAATTATTTTAGATCAGTTAATGTACTACACAGACATTTTTCATGTTCCATGTGGGCTTAAAAACAATGTATTGTTTTGTTTCGTTTTCTTGAGTTCAGGAATGTATGTTACAAGATCAGATTTGTTAACTGTATTGTTCAAATCTTCTACATATTTACAATTATCTGTTTGTTCCATCATGTCTGAAAGATGTTACTAAACTCTCCTACTATAACTGAGGATTTGTCTATTACATTCCTATCTGTTTCCGCCTGTCTGAATCCAAGACCGTATTACTAAGTACAGCTTCATGACTGTTAGATCTTCGAGGTGGACTGTTCTCTATCATCATGGGGGCCGAGCCTTCTGTGGGTCCAGTAAAGGGCATTTTTCTCCACCCAGGTAAGGAACAGATTCAGAAACAAAAAAATTAAGAGCAAGGTGATTAGAAGTCAAAGTAACTCCTTCGTTCCTGATAAAAGTCACCCACTTTAGTGTACAGATGAAATGGGTCTTCTAACTAAACCCCAATATTGTCCTTCAGGTCCCAGGTGCTGCCAGGCAAGAGGCAAGCCTCCTCTGGAGGGGGTTGGCTCAGGTGGGGCCTCTAGCACAGAGGAGTGGAGGGCATAACCTGTGGGCAGCCAATTCCAAGAGGAAAAACAGAAAGGGCTACACATGTCAAGTTCTTGCTCCCTAACCCACCGATCAGAGAAGGCAGAGAGAGTCAGGGGTGTTAACACAGAAGTATTCCTTCCATATAGGAGGAAATATCAAGAGTGGGGAGAAGTTATTTCCAAGCTACAAAGGAATATACTCCCTTTACCCTTACTAATGCTTTGTTCCTGAAATTCTATTTTGTGTAATATTATTGTTGCTATACCACCTGGAAGCATTGGTTAGGATTTTCCCAGCGTATATTTTCCATTTCTTTTATTTTAAATCTTTCAACATTATTTTTCTTTAGGTATGTATCTTACAAGAAGACTAGAGCTATAAACCCTATGATCCAGTAATTGCATTACTGGGGTATTCACCCCAAAAAAATACAAAAACACTAATTCAAAGGGATGCACCCCTATGTTTATTGTAGCATTATTTACAAAAGCCAAGTTACGGAAACAGCCCAAGTGTCCACTGATAGATGAATGTATAAAGAATCTGTGCAATGGGATATTACTCAGCCATGAAAAGGATGAAATCTTGCCATTTGCAATGACATGGTTGGAGCTAGAGAGTATAATGCTAAGTGAAATAAGCCAAAGAAAGGCAAATAACACATGATTTCACTCATATGTAGAATTTAAGAAACAAAACAAATGAGCAAAGGGAAAGAAAGAGAGACAAACCAAGAAACAGACACTTAACTCCAGAGAACAAACTGATGGTGAACAGAGGGGGCGTGGGGGGGAAGAATGGGGGGAAATAGGTGATGGGGATTAAGGAGTGCACTTGTCGTGATGAGCACTGAGTAATGGAAGGAATTGTTGAGTAACTATATTATACACTTGAAACTAACATTACACAGTATATTCACAATACTGGAATTAAAACAAACTTAATTTTAAAAAAGAATGGCAAAGGTGGGAGGAAGAATATAGCTGTAAATTTAGTTCAGTTTTAGTCTGCTAGTCTGGTATATTCATATGGTAAATTAATCTATTTAAATTTATTGTGATTACTAATATGTTTGGAATTATATCTATTATTTTATGTTTTCTATTATTCTGTGCTTTCTTTCCTTTTTAAAACTCCTCCTTTCCTGCCCTCAGTTTAATTTAATAAAAAAAATTCTCCTTATCCTTCTGCTAGTTTGAGCTGCAGATTATATGTCTATAACTTCCAATACACATTTTTATACATTTTTCTAACAAACTCTAAACTTACCTTGCTGTGTCTCTTCTGAGGAGGGAAGAGGAAATAGTAACTCAGTGAACTCTTCCCTCCCTATGGTCCTTCCTACTTCTGTCCTTCCAATCGTCCTTCCCACTTCCTAGTGAACTCTTCCCTCCCTATCATCCTTCCTACCTCCAGCAACCCTCAGTTTGTTTCCTATGATTAAAAGTCTCATGGGGGGCGCCTGGGTGGCTCAGTCGTTAAGCGTCTGCCTTTGGCTCAGGTCATGATCCCAGGGTCCTGGGATCGAGCCCCACATTGGGCTCCCTGCTTGGCAGGAAGTCTGCTTCTCCCTCTCCCACTCCTTCTGCTTGTGTTCCCTCTGTCGCTGTGTCTGTTTCTGTCAAATAAATAAATAAAATCATTTTTTTAAAGTCTCTTATGGTTTGTCTCCCGCTCTGATTCTGTCTTATTTTTTTTCCTCTCTTCCCCTATGATCCTGTTTTGTTTCTTAAATTCCACATATGAGATCATATGATAATTGTCTTATTTTGATGACATTTCACTTAGCTCTAGTTCCATCCACGTCGTTGCAAGTCAAGCCTCTTTTTAAACACACAAAAACTAATTCTTTTTCCCTCCTCAGTAATTAAATTTATCAACACAGTTGACCTATTTCTTGCCACTTTATTTTTTTTAAGATTTCTTTATTTAGAGAGAGAGAAAGAGTATGCGCACACATGAGCGAAAGGAGCAGAGGGAGAAAGAATCCTAAGCAGAGGAGTCTTCCTCACTGATCACAGAGCCTGACATGGGACTCAAGTCCATGACTCTGACCTGAGCCAAAACCAAGAGTCATACACTTAGCCAACTGCGCCACCCAGGCACCCTTGCCACTTTTTAACATCTTTTCATCTGGTTTCTCTTTTCTTCTGGCTGAAGTACATCTTTTAGTAATTCTTTCAGGGGTAGCCTGAAATTCTCTTGTCTGAAAACAGTTTGACTTTGTGTTTGCAGAGAGCTTCTCTGGGTATAGAATTTTAGGTTAAAGGATTCTTTCTGTTCTTCTTTCCTTTCTTTCTTTCCTCCAACATTTTAAAGACACTGTCCTATTGTCCCATGGCTGATAAGAAGCCTGCTCTCAGCCAGGTTGTCATCACTTCATAGAGGAGTATCTTTATTCTTAGGAAGCTTTAAAAATGTTCTCTTTCCCTTAGACGTTCTAATGCTTCACTTCAATGTGTCCAGTAGTACTTCTTTGTTTTAAAATCATGCTCAGCACCACAGTGTGGTGCTTTCTTCCATTCTGAAATATTCCCAGCCATTATTTCTTTTCTTTTTTTTTAAGATTTTATTTATTTGATAGAGAGAGAAAGAGAGAGATCACAAGTAGGCAGAGAGGCAGGCAGAGAGAGAGGGGGAAGCAGACTCTCTGTTGAGCAGAGAGTATGATGCGGGGCTCCATCCCAGGACCCTGAGATCATGATCTGAGCCGAAGGCAGAGGCTTAACCCACTGAGCCACCCAGGTGCCCCACCAGCCATTATTTCTTTAGATATCTCTTCCCCACTGATTTTCTCCTCTTCCCTCTGAGACTCTACAACAAAAGCTATCAGTCTATTATCCACACATCTTCTTTCTTTTTCACGTATTTCGTCACTTTATCTGCACTGTACTCTGACTGAATTCTTTGAGACTATGTTCCAATGCACGGATTCACGCCTTAATTCCAAACCAATTATATGAGACTAGATTTTATCCCATGTATTGAGGTTTTCAATTTCAACTGTTTTATTTCCCATAATTCCAACTGTTTTCATTTTGTACCCATGTGTATCCATTCTTGATTCATCCATTCATTCAATGTATCATAATTTATTATCCCTTTTACAGATGCTATTATCTTCTTCAGATATTAAGTATATTTAAGTCATTTGAAAGTATACCATTATGTGCATTTCATTAGCAGTAAAACCAGTTCATTTGTTGATATTTTCAGCTTTTTTTTTTTTTAAGATTGTTTATTCATTTTAGAGTGAGCGCATGTGAGAGCACCAGCAGAGGGAGAGAGAAGCCCAGGATCCTGGGATCACGACTGAACGAAAGGCAGACACAACCAACTGAGCTACCTGGGTACCCCTTAGCTGTCTTTCTTAATGTCAATTTTCCCTGGGTGTTTTGGAGGTTTCCATCCATTTTTCTCTATCTTCAGTGCAAGGCACTCTGATCCACTTCCCATCAGAACTGGTTGCAAACACCTTATGCAACCTGGTGGCCTGTCTAATCACATAACAGCTGACCCTTCACAGCAGCCTGTCACTTCCTGCTTCCTGCTTCTGGCCTTGCCTTCCCTCCAAGACATTCCCCTTACTCTAGCCAGTGATCATTCTACAGTACAAATCATATCATGACATTCCTCTTTCAGGAGCTCTCCTCTGGCTCATAAAAGAAAATCTAAGTTCCTAGACATGGTCCAGATAGGATTTCGTTTTTCCTTGCCTCTCCAGCATGACCTCTCAACCTTATGTACACTCACACAGACACACACACAGACACACACTCCACATTCAAGCTCTTATAAACTTCTTTCTGTTCTCCCATACCATCTATCTTTGGATCACCATCACTAGACTAAAATAATCCATGTCCATAAGAAGACGATAAGTGAGAATGAGAACAGGAGTAAGAATACCTAATCCATATTGAATGTTTTCTGTAGCCAAGTAACAAGAGATGAGCTAATTCCTTACATTAGCTCCATCCCTGGACAAAGTCTGGCATGTATTAAGCCCTGATTGAACAAGACTTTATCTTCTATGAATAGATAATAGCCCTTTTTGTTACACTGATTGCTTTTTTTGCCTCAAATTTACTTTTTCATATTAATACCACCAACTGTGCTACCTTTTTATATTTGTGATAACTTTTTCTCAACACTTTTCTTTGTTGAGTTACTTTCTTTAGTAAACTGAGTTACTTTCTTCAATAAAATACAGATACATTGATTGATTGATTAGTGGGGTGGGGGGAGGATGAAGGGATGACTCAAACTGAGAATCTTTGCTATTTAATAGTGGAATTTCCCTCATTTATATTTATTATACGTCACATGTACTCAGACTTCCATTTTATTTATTTACGGTTCTTTATTTCCTATCTTTTTTATACATTAATGTTTTCTTTATCTTCCTTTATTTTGGAAGGTTTTCATTCTACCAGTGATTTTATATCCACAGAATACTACATTTTCATCAAAATATGTTCAGCTTTTAGTTCTCTTTCACTGATTTTGTCTGATACTAGGTGAGTCATTTTGATCTGCAGAGTTAAATCTTCAATCAGCTTAAGAACATCAATTATCCACATGTTAATTCCTGCTCACTGTCCTCCCTATTCATTACAATTTTGCTCATCATTTTAGAGTTGTGTTTTCCTCTGAATTATGTGAAAGCCTCTCAAACTTGCTCTCAATATTACTAACTGGGTTTTCCAAAACTAGACTCTGCTCTTTAGTGCTTCTAAAACCATTTAAAATTCTTTTGACCGCTTTCAGTTTTCTTATATTCTTTCCTTAATTTAACCAGCAATTTTTCATCTCATTCTGCTGTCCTATTTTATCTTTTGTCTTTTCTTTCATACAGTTTGGTTTTTTTTTCTGGAAGTTTGCTGAAAATACAAAGTTAATAGACATCTAAATTTTACTTGGCTTTCTGTAGTAAATCCTTCCTAAAATTTGGTCATTTCCCTACCTTCTAAATACTAGGTTATGCTTTTTTCGATGCAGAATCTTTTCTTTCAGTAACCCATGAGGGTTTTTTTCCCTACTTCTTCTTTATATCCAAGCTTGAAAAAGAAGAAATCTTTGTTGATGATTGAATGTTATTCATTTCCAGTAGTGGATAAACTCCTCTTGGCTACTCTCATAGCACACACAGAGGCTGTCAGAATACTCCTCTCGGATTTTAAGCTGGAGAGCTGGTTCTCTTAAAACACCAGTTAAATAATCTAGAAGCCTACAGGGAATGAGGAAGATGCCAGGACAAGAGTCGCTGCCAGCGAGGGAGTTTCGCCTCTGTATAATTTCTTCTTTGTGTCTGCTAAAGCTTCTAAAGCTGTAGGGCCAATTTTTTTTTTGTCTGGTTTTCAATCTGGCCTGGCCATCACCCCAAGTACATGATATGATTGTCCAACTTCCTAGCTGGTATATGGCTTCTCCCTGCCACCCTACTCATTGGTTTTCTATTTCGGAAAGCCACACTTAAGCTTGCCCTTGGGCTCTCCAGGGGATCGATTTTAAATGCTGGTGACCCAAAACAAAAAAGTGGTTCCATGTGGAAAGAGTCTTGACTCTCCCAGAATCTCCAATTTCATATATTCCCATGCTACATTGCTATCTAAGGAAGGTGAGCTGGATTTTAACTCTCAATGTTGTCCACATTATAGTCCTAACTGCCCCGTAAATTATTTCTTAAAATATTCAAAGTGTGTGTTGTGTTCCTGACATCTTTCTCTAATTTTCAGTTCTGAAGCAGCATTTCAGATAGGATATAATATTAGAAAAAAGGAGTTAGATCCTTGTGTTCAATTGTCATCTTACTCAGAAATCTGATTTTTACTAAGAAAAGAAATAATTTTCCTTACAGAGATTCACCTAGCTCGAAATCCTATTTGGAGATGGGGATCCACATATCACTCCCTCAAAAAAATTTGCTCTAACAATTTAGTTACTACCTTCTCCTTGCCTTGCAAATATGATTTTGCTAGCCAAGTAAACCTCAGTAAAGAAAATTGTTTCCTTTCTTAATAAAAAACCAAGATTGGACGGGTGCTGGCAACATCCTTGTACCCCGCCCTCCCCCACACACACACCTCCCCCACAGCACAGATATGTGTCCCTGCTCCCTCCTGTATTTTATCTCAAAATCTGGGCAGAAAAAAAATGTTATTCTTTTTTCTAAACACCATCAAGGACTTCCAATTAGATTCAACAACTATAGACTGGGAGCTTAACAGGTTCATAGCACTTCGCTGAGCACTAACACGTGGCCTCCCAGGCTTTTCCACCAGCCCCCAGGGACAGAGATAAATAAGATACAGCCTCTCTGTGTTCCCACAGCATCCTGTGCCTATCGCTAAAATAATACCTGTGACACATACTAAAATCCTCTGTTTTTTCTCTCCCATTAGACCAGAAGCCTTTAGAAAACAGATCTCCACTCAGTCATCATTGCATCCCCAGCCCTCATGATGCTTCCTGGTGCAAAGGAGGTTTTACAAAACATGTTAGTGGAACAAAACGGACACCAGGTCTCACTCCTGCCCTTGAACCAAGAGAGGTACCCCGGCTTAGCTATAAAACGGTGCTCCCGTTGGGAACACTTTTCCATCCCGAGGAGCCCAGCACACACAGAGAAGCTTCGGGATGTATCTTCATGATGGGACGCGCATCACGGTCAGTGTTCTGGCAAACCCTCTCCCAGGATGACTTGGAATGAGCCAGCTCAAGTTTCTCTTCCCAACTCCTTCAGAGCCATGGTCCCCACAAGACAGAAAGGCAGGTGGGGGTTGGTCTAGGTGACCTTGAGACTAGGATACCCCTCTGACTCCCACAGTCCACTGGCTGACAGAAACACCTGGTCTCTTGGCCTGGCAGCCAGAACGGAGCCCCAGGACTCCAGTCAGTCGGCTCCCCGCCAGCACACCCAGACCAGACTGGTCAGACGGGTATTTCTGGGTCCCTGCCACTAGAGGCGTGGCCTCCAAAGGCACAGCAGCCCCACCTGAGAATGACCCGAAGGTACTCGATGCCCTCCGCCTCCTCACACTTGATGGACAGGAGCAAGTTCCCCAAACTGCTGCCAGTACAGTAAAAGTTTAGGTGATCCTAGAAACAGAAATCAGGTATTAGTAGGCAGGAGGGGACCTTCCAGACATGGCCCCCCAAATCCCCTCCTTCCCCAGGAGCAAGAAGCCCCACAGCAGTGAGGAGGAAAGACAAGGATGCTTCTGCTATGGCTACTGCTGAGGAGGAGGAAGAGGAGGGGAGGAGGACAAGGAGGAAGGAGCAAGATCACAGGAATAGATTCCAACAGTCGTTGGGGTGCGCCAGGCAATGGACTAAGGACTTAAGGCACACTGACTCCTTTAATCTTAACCACAACTTTATGGGGGAGATAACATCATCATCCCCATTTCACAGAGAAGTAAGCGAGTTAAGTAACTGCCCAGGGTCACACAACCAGGAAGGGACAGATCCAGCACTCAAGTCCACCTTGAATGCTGATGCTCAAACTCTTCTCCAAGGACCCCACACATCCACCTCCTTGTTCCCAGGGGGTAGCCCTCACTGATTCAGACCATTTGCAGGAATAAAGCTAAGAGGCCCCCGGCTCCTCCACCCATGAGGAGCTAGGAGGTCCTCTGGACAGCGGGTCTCTCTAAGGCTCAGGGAGCCTACCGCAGACCTGCCATATCAGCGTGGGGCCCTGGAGACTGAATTGGACCATGCAGATGAGACTCTGCAAAACTGCCTCAGGCTAGAGACTTCCGGAACCTGCTCTCGAGAACCAGGCAAGTCTGAAGAGCAGAATGTATTTAGAGAAATGCGACTGTCACTTATAAGCAATCAGAGGCTCACACTGCATCATCCAGAACAAGTGCCCTGGGGACTGTTGGAGTGAGGACAGGCGAGACTGGACGACTTAGATGGAGACAAAGACTTCCAAGGTGTAAGAACACATTTTCTCCTTCACCCTCCTTCTCCCCCCAACACCACCCATCCCATCACCTCCGAGAACATCTGCTGGGAGCAGTGCCTCCAAGGACCCATCTCTCTGAGCCCTCCTGACTTCTGCACACCCGTCCCCCAACCCAGGAGTAGCACTAATCAGACTTTCCCAGGATAGCAGGACAGCGGCAGGGCCTAGGGAGGGGGAAGGCCACGGAAGGAGGAGAGACAGAGACAGGGATGCTGGAGGAGGCCGGGCCAGGAGGGTTTCCCTCCCCGCCCTCAGCTGCTTTGGTGTGGGGCCCTCAGCCTCACCTTCCCCAGGAAGTGCCTGCGGTAGGCCCTGGCTTCACCCTTGCACTCGAGCTTATAGCCAAATGTGCTGGGGCTGAGACTGTCCTCTTCCTCCTCCTCACAGATGCTGCTGCCAAGGGAGGTCGGCGTCCCCACGTTCTCTGGGTCCTCGATCCAATAGCCCCCAAACTGGGGCAGGACAATCAAGGGGTACGGGCCTCCCTTCTCCACAACCTGGGGCAAGAGAGAAGGTCTTACTCTGAGGCCTGCCCTGGCTTTACAGGGGGAAGGGACAGGAAGGTTGCAGGTGGTATATACCCCCCACCTTTGAACTGCTCCAAGGTGAAGACCCCTGTATTTGAGGCCAGATACAGTAACACAAACCCCAAATTTAAGCCCAACAACATCTGCCAGCTTCACCGACGCTGGACCAGAGTTACAAGGCTTCGAGAAGCACCCCATCTGAATACAACAAAACTGAGGCCACAGAGCTACAGTCTCAGGCCTGAGGTCCTCTCCCACATCGTGTGGAACAGGGACCATCAGCACCACCAGCACGCCCAGCCCAACCCCAGAGATGAGACCCAGGGCAGGCTACGGTGGGGCCAGGGGGCTCCTACCTCATCAATGCTGGGGTACGGGATGTAGTCATCCTGCAAGACAAATCAGACAAGGCTGCCGTTAGCCCCAGCAGCGCCTGTGAAGTTTGAAGGTTACTTCCATTCCCCTCTCCCAGGCTGGGGGGTTGAGGGTGTCTGGAAGGCTACACCAGAGCTTTGAGAGCATCAAAGAGAATAACACCAGATCAAGAACAGCAGAGAGGCTCTGGGACCTGGCCTCCCTTGATGCTTCCCCAGACTGACAGACCCAGAGCGCAAACCTGCCTAGCTAGAGACTCGTCATAAAGCCTATGAATTTCACACCTTTCCTGACATCAGCTTCACCCCTTAGGAAGCTTTAACAGGAAGATGACCCCTGATCCCTTCAGGCAAGGGAGCTGACCTCTAAGTGATGAGCTGCCCAGCCCCCAACCCCAGGCCTCGGGATAGGAAACTGAAGCTGAGAGCTGCTGGAGCCCAAAGCCTGATGCCCTGAAATGCCATGTGCAGTTCGTTTGCAGAAGCAGGTACAGAAGGGCTGGGCTGAGCCATAGGCCTTAGGTCTCAGCCTCACCCCAGGCCACTCTAAGGCTGCCCTGAAGGCATCAAGCCAGAGCCTTCCTACTGCCCACTGTGCACCCGTGGACACGGGCACACCCACTTAAGGAGCTCTTGGTGAAAGGCAGATGGCAGCCTACAGACCCCAGCATGCCAACCGTCCCTATGCCGGGCCCACCAGGCTCCCTCCCACCTCATCCACACAGCCCACCTTATTCTTCTGGGGGCCCGGCTTCTGCTCTTCAAGCTTGATCCCCTGTGGAGACAAGGAAAAGAGGATCCATGGGAAAGAAAATGTCATAAAACAGGGGCCAAATGGAGGGTTCCCTTGGGATTCTCAAGCACCTGCCTTGATAGGGTTGGTAATAACAGTGACAGTGGATATGTGCCAGGTGCTTACACGTCACATGCCTTGTCATATTCAGTCCTCACGGCAGCTCCAAGTAAGGCAGGAGGAGAGGCAGGGAAGAGCCCAGACTTAAGCGAGATCACCAGGGTTCAAGTCCCAATACTGCCACTTACAACCCTGGGCAAGTCCCAAACCTCTGTGGCTCAGTGTTCCCATCTGCAAAATGGGAATGGTAATAGCAGCTACTGCTGGAGTCAAGGTTAAACGCTGAGGATGCGTTCAGCCCTTGAAAGAGTGACTGGTTTTACTTTGGTCATTATCACCAGGCAGAAGTATCATCCTGCCACTGAAATCTCTCTCTGCCAGGCCCTTAGAACTAGGAGGTGAGGGGCAAGGATGGGAACCCATGTCTGAATGGTGTTGAAGCCAGCACTCTGGACCCAGTGCCTCCACAGCAGCTCTCTCTCACTGGGGTGAAAACCCACAGGTGACAGGCAGGGGGGTCTGGGGCTCATTCGCTTCTGGGAAGCAGTGCCTTGGCCAGCGTTCCTATGGTCAAGGTCTGACTTAACTGGGTTTTTTTTCAAGAGGGGAGCACATGAGTAGATTAAATAAGTGAGTACATTAAGTAAGACTGGATAAATTAAATAAGGCTATAAAGTGGTGGGACAACTAGGAGAGAAAACCACCCTAATCATAACATGGGGATTTTAAGCTTCCTCAGCAACTTCCCACTGTTGTCTCCTATGAAGCCCTTGGCACCTTTATACCAAAGGGAAACTGAGGCACAGGGAGCAGACTGCTTCTCAGGTTTCACAGCTAGTGAGTGGCAGGGCCTGGATTTGAAGCCAGGCATCCGTCCAAGTGCACTATCCTATCCCACAGGCCCTTGAGCCCAGGGCTCCTGCTCACTGGCTGGATTTAGACTTCAGTGTCTCCGGACTTCTCCAGGCTGAGTCACTCTGCAGCATTGCTCAGGAGGGTGTGGGAGGACCCCTCCCACTGGACAGGTGCTCCTCTCCCCACATGGGGAGATAACCACCTGGGTGGCCCAGCAGATCCTGTCCAGGGAAGCAAACTGGGCAGATGGGGAAGGGGGTGATGTCAGGAGTTTGTTTTGTTTGTCCTGCATTAGTCACCCATACCTGGGAACAGCCCCTGGGCAGGAAAGCAAACCTCCTCCCTTCCCCTTCCCTCCCCGACAACAGAGCCACGCCCAGCTCTGGGTCCTCTCCCCTCCGTGGGTCTGCCTTTGCAATCAGCATTGTCATCATCCCCCTTTTTCCCTACCATGAAGAAACTGAGGACCAGAGAGCTAAAGCCACTTGACCAAGGACACTCAGCTAGACAGTGTCGGGGTTAAAACTTGGAACCCAGGACCAAATGGACCTAAAGCTTGTCTACTTAGTCCACATTGCTTCATAGAGATTGTGCCCTCTTCCAATTCCTCCACTCTCAGATAGGGGGTCAGGAGCCCCAGATCTGAGTTTCAGCTCACCATGACTCACAGCACTTGATGGCTCTGAGACTCAGTGTCCACAGCCACAGCCTGGGAAGCGGTGGCACCCACACCCAAGCACGGGATCTGGCCACACCATGCCACCTGCTTCACTCCCAGTATTTCCCCATAGGTGAGGTTTTGTCCATCAGAGGAGCTGGAACTGTGGGCCTCTTGGAGGCCAGGGAAGTTTTTCAGTCCCTGGCCGTCTCAACAGAGATGGAATGCGCAGACCGTTGGAGGTCCGCTACTACAAACATACAGAGGGAGCCTAGACGCCAGACCCTCGCCCTCAAGAGGGTCGCAATCTGGTTGAGAAGTCAAGCCCAGCAGTGTAGTAACAGAAGCAATGGAGGCCGGTTAAGTGAGGCTGAATTATGTGCTCAAACAGAGAGCTCTTTGTGGGGGGGCTGGGGTCTCCAGATGGGGGTGAGGGACTGGCGGGTTGTGGGAACAAATGAAGAGAAGGCCAGGGAAGCCAAAAATCCCCTGCCAGCTTCCCCGAAAGCTGGGATTTCGAGGGCTCAGGGTGAAAATCCCCACTTTACTCCAGGCAGCTGAGCACGTAATTACACGCCAGCTCCCACCACTTGCTGTCAGAGCGCATGCCAATCCTCTTTCCATAACCTGACCAAGGTCCCTAAATGTCTATAAAGTTAGTGTGCAGTCCACACACTGCTGGGCCCAGAGGAGGCTCTTAGTCACTTGTTCGTGACAATGGCACAACCGTTAGCAGCAGGATTCTTCCCTCCAGTGGTTTCTGAACTTCCCCAGGGCTAGGGAGACCTGGCTTCCCTGTGCGCACCTCAGGAGCTCCCCCTGCACCTCAGGACCCTATCTGCTTCTCCTCTTGCGCCTCCAGACCATTGCCACAGAGCCTTCCTTCCTTGAGCTGGTACCATCTACTTAGGGCAAAGAGCTTCATAACGGCTAAGACTTCTGGCTCGGAAACTGCTTGCTACCCACGAGCGCTTGAGTGATTTAAGCAAGACCTCTGTGCCTCAGTTTTCTTACCTGTGAAAAGGGGACATTGGGGATAATAGAGCTGCTTCCTATGGGTTTCACCAGGAAGAAAGGGGCTAACACTTGTCAGTGTCTGAGCTGAGAAAAGTGCTTAAAATACATGTGCTAGGGACACCTGGGTGGCTCAATTGGTGAAGCATCTGCCTTTAGCTCAGGTCATAATCCTAGGATCCTGGGATCAAGTCCCTCACCGGGGTGAGGGGAGGATTCCTTGCTCAGCAGGGAGCTTGCTTCGCCCTCTGCCTCTGCCTCTGCCTGCCGCTCTCCTGTTTATGTTTGCTCACTCTCTCTCTCTCTCTCTGATAAATAAATAAATAAATAAAATCTTTAAAAAAAAAAAATACATGTGCTGTTGGGGCATCTGGCTGGCTCAGTCAGTTAAGCGTCCAACTCTTGATTTCAGCTCAGGTCATGATCTCAGGGCTGTGGGATCAAGCCCTGCACTGGGCTCCATGCCCAACACACAGTCTGCTTTCGATATTCTCTCTTCCTCTCCTGCCTCTGCCCCTCCCCATCCTTTCACTCCCACTAAATAAATAAAATCTTAAAAAAGAAAAATACATGTGCTCTTGTCCACATCGTCTTCTCATCCTTCCCACTTATATCAGTTAAGCCTTCCGGATGCACCGCCCCACCCCCATACTCCGCAGGGCAGCAGTTCTTACCTATGAGCCCTGACCCTTGGTGAGGGGTGATTAGAAAGGCCCCCAAATCCATTTTGAACACTGATTTTTCCGCAGTGCCTAGCAAGTATTGACATATATTATTTCATCCCAACAACTCTGAAAGTGGGAATTTAAAATTATTATTTAGAGGGGATGTGGCATAATTTGTAATAATCAATATTTTGGTCTTCACCCCATTCCTGGCACAGAGTTCCTAAAACCTGTTGAATTTCCTAAGCGATGAGAGCAATGGGAGCGTTTGGAAGCATCTTTTGTTATAATCCTTCATCTTTTGTACTTGGTTCCTGAAACAGCTCCAGGGCCATAAAGGTGAAAGCTCCAAGGTTATTCCTTTGTTAAAGAGGTGCCTTCTGGGACACTGCTGAGGATGAGCTGGATGCCCAGGGAACCAACCACTATTAGAGGGTTGGAAGGTGCAGTCCCACCCCTCCAACCTCCCGGGAGTTTGAACCAATCATGCCTAAGTACTGAAGCCTCCATAAAAAACCAAATGATAGGCTCAGAGAGCTTGAGTTGGTGAGTACATGGCGGTGCAGGGAGACAGGTGCATCCTGAGGTCGGGGAAGCTCTTCCCCTCCCTCCACACACCTGGCTCCCTGCAACTCTTCCATCTGGCTGTTCCTGAATCATATCCCTTTACAGTAAATTGATAATCCAGTAAGTAAACTGTTCTGAGTTCTGTGAGCCACTCTAGCAAACAAACCGAACCTGAGCAGGGGGTCAGGGGAACCTCAAATCTATAGCCTGTTGGTCAGAAACACAGGTGATAACGGACTAATGACTGGCATTGAAAGTGGTGAGGAGGCGACCTGTGGGGCAGAGCCCTTGCCCTGTGGGATCGGAAGTCAGAATGGAGTTGACTGTAGGACACCCAGCTGGTGTCACAGAATTGCTTGGTGGGGGAAAAACCACCACACATTTGGTGTCAGAGGGAGGTGAAAATAGTGCTGTGAGTAGACAGAAAACAGGAGCCAGAGGCTCAGAAAAGGGAAGGAACTTGTGCTAGCGAGTGTTAGGTGCGGGTTTGACCTCTAGTGGGTCTCTCCCGCTCCGTTCTGCCTCCCAGATACAAGATGACCTCGCCTAAGAAAGGGCTTTCTTTTTCAGACTTTCTTTCCCACCCATTCCAGGAACAATGGACCATTTCAAGCCCTCCCCACATCTGTGGGGGTATACCCACATCTGCTCTGCTGGAGGGGTTCTGCTTTCTGTCTTCTCCCCATCTTCAGGCAGGAGCCTTCCCAGAATCCTCAGTGCCACTCAACACAAAAAATGGCCTGAGGTAGTCCCAGCCATCAGGCTGGCAGTTCACTCTTCTCTGCCCCTCCCTCCAAGGCTCCCATGTTCTGCCTGGTTTTGTTGCCTGCACGGTCACTGCAGCACGCCCACCGCACCCCCCCACCCAGGGCTTGGCCTCCCCACTTTGGGGACGCTCACCTGCATTTTCTCCAGCATCTCGAAGAACTCCGCCGACTGAAAGACACAAAGAGGTTGCATCAGCTTGGAGGTCTGCTGAGAAAATCTCCTCACCAATTTTCTGCAGGCCTAGCCCAGGGCTTCCCCGGAGACAAGAGTCATTTGAATCAGAAGGTAATTTGATTTTGCCTTTGCAGGGCTGGCGGGCCAGAACACCCCCTAACAAAAGAAAAAATTACATGCGCCCAAGCTGGCAAATGGCCCTGGGGAGAGCAGGCACTCAGTCTCTGTCAAGAGAGAGGAGCCTGTGGGGCCCCAGGGAAAAGTCAAGTTCCCTAAAACACCTGTCAGCCCTTGGATTCAGTCTCCAGGAGGAGTCCTGTTTGGGATGTTTTTCATCCCAACGGTGGGGCTAAGGTGTCCAACACAAGTAGTTTCCCAAACTTTTGTGGCCACACAGTCCTCCTGTCTCCAACCTCACTTAGAACTCCAACATATAAAACCAGTAGAAGCAGAGCCCCTCTGGCCAGAGCAGCCATGAGGCTTGAGCTCCTACGGTGCCCGTCCCGGTCCCCTGTCCCCAAGGCAGCTCTTTGGGACCCTAGAGGTTGTGAGCAAAGCCTGGAAACCACTGAAGTGGAGCCTCCAGGGACCTGGACAGATTATTCAAAAAATCTCGAACTATGAAAGTCCAAACGTTTAACCTGCTTTGGCACCCTCCTTGTAAACTCCAGGTAAATGCAAAAAGCAGAAAAAGGAAATGGAACAGAGGGGTGAGGGGCCAGAAGCTCTACCCTAACAAAACCCACGCAGAGATCTCTCAGCAGTTTCCCCACTTCCCCTTCCATAAAAATAGCTATACTTTCTTGCCTTAACATCACTGCCCACATCTGGGTCCTGGCAAGCCATGAGTTAATGAGCACCCAGAACACAGTCTTCAGATGAATAAGAAAGAAAGCAGTGATGATGAAAAACAAGGAGGTCCTTGTCACTTCATGTGGAGGAAGGGCGTCCCTCCCTTCCTCTGCAGTCAGCAATGGGCCAGAATTACCTGGAGACCCCTGCCCACAGAATTCCCAGAGAGAGCCACCATGGGAAGGATCTTTGTGGAGTCCCCTGGCTTCAAATGAGCTCCCCTCAGGCCACAGTTGGCCTTTTGGAGGCAACAGTCTCTGACCCCCAGCAGTTCGGGTCCCAGAGTCTGGAAACCCCCTGTGGGAATGTACAGCATGGAAGACGAGCTTCAGGCCCCCACATTGAGCATCCTTAACCAAAAGCAGCCGAGAAACACAAGACTCCTGAACCTATCCTTCCCACTGGCTCTGTGCACCCTTACCAACTCCAGTCTCCAGGAGACCAAGATTCCTAGACAGAAAGAATTTATACAAATCAATAGGGCTAGAAAGAAGAGCAGGAAGAGGACAAAAGGGCAGAAACAATCAACAATTACACACGCAGACATCTGACCCAGTGATTCCACTTCTAGGGATCTGTGCTATAAGCACGCTTCCGTGTGAGCACAAGGATGGACGTTCCCTGAAGCAGCATTTCGTTACAGTGAGCTACGTTCGGATAGTATGAACAACTGGGTCCCATTAAATTAAATGGCTTGGATGAAATGGACAATTTCTAGCAACACACAAACTACCAATGATGACTCTAAGAAATGGAAAATCTAAAAAGATCTGTAATAAATAAAGAAACTGAATTAGTAATCAAGAAGCTACACAAGGAAAAGCCCAGGTCCAGATGGCTTCAGCTGTGAATTCTGCCATTAAAGAAGAATTAATACTAGTTCCTCAGAAACTCCAGGAGTGCCTGCGTGGCTCAATGGGTTAAGCCTCTGCCTTCGGCTCAGGTCATGATCTCAGGGTCCTGGGATCAAGCCCCGCACCGCATTGTCATCGGGCTCTCTGCTCAGCAAGGAGCCTGCTTCCCCCTCTCTCTCTGCCTACTTGCGATCTCTCTCTCTGTCAAATAAATAAATAAAATCTTTTAAAAAAAAATATCTTAAAATAGGAGAGGGAACACTTCCCAACTTATTATAGGAGGCTAGCATTACCCCAACAACAAAACCAAAGACATCATAAGAAAACTACAGACCTACATAGCTTACGAATATAGACACAAAAATACTCAAAAACACCAGCAAACCAAATCCAACAATGTATAAAAAGAATTACACATTGTGACCTGGTGAGATTTATTATGGTAAAGTTGGTTTATCCAAAAATCCATGCCTATAATACACCAGACAAATAGAATAAAAACAAAAACCATATTGTCAATTCATCAGACATAAAGAAAGCATCTGACAAAACTCCAAACCCTTTCTTGATTAGAAATTAGGGGGGAAAAAAAAAAAACTAGATAGAAGGGAAGTCCCTCAACATGAAAAAGGGCAGCTACAAAAAACCACATGTAATAATATTCTTAATAATGGAAAACTAGTGCTGCCTGGGTGGCTCAGTGGGTTAAGCCTCTGCCTTCAGCTCAGGTCATGATCCCAGGGTCTTGGGATTGAGCCCCCGCATTGGGCTCTCTGCTCATCGGGGAGCCTCTCTCTCTGCCTGCCTCTCTGGCTACTTGTGATCTCTCTCTCTGCCAAATAAATAAATAAAATCTTTTTAAAAAATAATAATGGAAAACTAGATACTTTGTCCACAAAATAAGGAATAAAACTAACCACTGTCATCATTTCTATTTATCACTGTGCTAGATGTTCTAGCCAGAACAGTAAGGAAAAAGAAAAAGAAAAAAAAAAAAAACTATTATAAAAGGCCTCAAACTGGAAAGAAAGAAGCGAAACTATCTCCATTCACAGATGACATGATCGTGTATATAGAAAATACTAAAGGGGCACCTGGTTAGCTCAGTCAGTGACTCTTGATTTCAGCTCAGATCATGATCTCAGGGTCAGGAGATCAAGCCTGTGTGATCTCAGCACAGCGTCTGCTTGAGATTCTCTCCCTGTTCCCACCCCCTGCCGGCAATCTCTAAATTAATTAGTTAATTAAATTTTTTTAAAAGAAAATACTAAGGAATTCACTAAAAAAACTATTGAAACTAATATAATAAATGAGTTCAGTAAGCAACCTAACTGTAAGAGCTAAAATTTAAAAACTCCTAGAAGAAAACACAGGAGTAAGTCTTTATGACGTTGCATTTGGCAATGGATTCTTAGATAGAACACCCAAAGCATGAGGACCACCAGCAAAAAAAACCACAATAAATTAGACTTCACCAAAACTAAAAACTACTGTGCTTCGATGGACACTGTCAAGTAAGCAAAAAGACAATCTCACAGAATAGAAGAAATATTTGCAAATCATCTACCTAATAAGGGACTTGTATCTAGAATAAAGATTTCTTACAACTAAATAATAAAAATAATTTTTTTAAGTTTTTTTTATTTTAGAGAGCAAGTGTGTGCACAAGTGGGGCTGGGGCAGAGGGAAAGAGAGAGGGAGCAGACTCCAAGCTGAGCAGAGCCCAACATGGCACTGGATCCCAGGACCCCAAGATCAAGACCTGAGCCGAAACCAAGAACTGGAGGCTTACCAACTGAGCCACACAGGTGCCCCAATAATGTAAAAATGAGCAAGGGATTTGAATAGGCATTTTTCCAAAGAAGATAGACAAATGGACAATAAGCTCATGCAAAGACACTCAACATCATTAGTCATTGGGAAACGTCAACCAAAACCACCCTGAGAAACACTTTCCAGGCATGAGAATGGCCATAACCAAACAGAAATAAGAGCAAGTGTTGGCAAGAACGTGGAGAAATTGGAGGCCTCACACAATGCTAGTGAGAATGCAAAATGGGGCACCCACTGTGGAAATAAGTTTGGCGGGTCCTCAAAAAGTTCACCATTGAGCCACCATTTGACCCAGGAATTCCACTCCGAGGTATATAACCCAAGAGAAATGAAAACACATGGCCACCAGAAAAACTCACACACCAACACTCACAGCAGCCATATTCATAACATCCAAAAAGTAGAAACCACCTAAACAGCCATCAACTCATGAACTAACAAATTCTGGCATATCCACACAGTGGAACAGTATTCAGCCATAAAAAAAAAGAATGATGTGTTTATTCATGCTACACACAACACAGGTAAACCTCGAAAACAGTGCGAGAAGCCAGAACACAAGAGGCCACCTATTATGATTCATTCTGTAGGAAATGTTCAGAAAAGGCAAATGTATAGAGACAGAAAGTAGGTCTGTGGTTGCCTAGGACTAAAGGAAATGGGAGATGTGGAGAATGATGGCTAAAGGGTATAGGGTTTCTTGGCTGTTTTTGGTTTGGGGTTTTTTTTTTTTTTTTTTTTTTTCATTTTAATACCAGTACAGTTAACATTCAATGTTATAATAGTTTCAGGTGTAAGAGGGTTTCCTTTTGAGGTGATGAAAATGTTCTAAATTCAATTGTTGTGATCGTTGCACAATTCTGTGACCATACAAAAAAAAATCCTTGAATTATACATTTTAAATTGGTGACCTTGGTACAAAAATTGTATCTCTATAAATCTGTTTCAAACAAATTATGCGGCCATTCAAAAGAAAGCAATAGAGTTACTACTTCCATGAGACACTCTCCAAGATACATTAAGGGGGTGGGGAGAGCAAATTGGAGAACACACAGAATATGATCCCATTTTTATAAAAACAAAACCAAAGGTTGCCTATCTGTATATAGAGAAGAGAGAGTGGGAATAGTAAAGGGGGGTTATGCTTTACATACAGCCTACTTCATAAGCACACAGACCTACACAACTCGCATAACCAAATTTCAAATAAATACATTTTGTAAGGGAAACCATAAAATGTGCAAAAGAGGGGCTCCTAGGTGGCTTAGTGGGTTAAAGCCTCTGCCTTCGGCTCGGGTCATGATCCCAGGGTCCTGGGATCGAGCCCCATATCAGGCTCTCTGCTCCGCGGGGAACCTGCTTTCTCCTCTCTCTCTGCCTGCCTCTCTGCCTACTTGCGGTATCTGTCTGTCAATTAAATAAATAAAATCTTTAAAAAAAAATGTGCAAAAGATG